GATTCAATGCTAGACCTATCAAACCTAGCGGGATCCTTAAATCTTCTTCAGGTCCCACGCTAGATGCATCTGAGACCTCATTCTCACGTCCCAGTCAATAGCACGCGTCATCTGCGCCGTCTACGGACGAGACGACAGTCTCACGTCCAGATCAGCAGACCACGCCGCCCTTGATTTCGGATGAGATTGCAGGCTCACGCGACGCGAACGAGACTGCCGTCTCACGTTCCGGTCGCCGAGTACGGTTACCCGTACGCTTCCGCGAATAGTCGCACAGTCAACAACTGATACGGTGTGGGATTATTCCTATACTACACGTATGCTACACTCTTCTTTTTTGATTTTCTTTTTGTTTCCTGAGCCCACGCCTTCGACCATCTCCGTTTGGTTCCGTCGACTTCAGCCAACTTTGGCGAAAGCTGGCCTGATCACCCATGCTCTTGTCAACGCACTCAGTCGATATATTGGTTTCGAATGCCTGGCACACGCTTGGTCTCGAACTTGGTCGTAACGGTCGCTTCTGGTCTTTTGGCTCAATGTGGTTTCGTCCTACGTCTGCAGCGTTTCTGGTGCGCACCTCTACGAACGCCCTCTTCAGATTCTGGATACAAACCACTCTGGTGTAGCATGCCAACTGAAGCAATAAATACAACACATCGCTCCTGGTACCGTTCTCCGAAAACGACCTTCGTTGGCAACTCGACGATCAACGATCGCTTTCCTGTTCGCCAATTCTTCCGTCCTACAATCGCTCGTCAGCCGATCAGTCCCACGATTCAAACCGCTATTTATCGAAAGTGTTAACCCTTTCTAGCGGGGGGCTCCTGTAGTGACTCACATTTATCACGAGAACACGACTGGTTTAATAAAAACAATTATTAATATAACCAACTGTACCGGTGTTTGTTTTAATGTGCTTTTGTTTGACTGTGCTAATGACAGCTATATTGTGCTTCCATTCTTATTCTTACACTTTGATTGTGACTTCGCGCGAATTCGGTTACGTTCTGTAACCAAGCTTGTATCCTGGCACGATCTCGGTATCCTTTCGATGCCACGAGATCGCCAGCAAATAAACCTCGACTTGGTCCATTAACTGTCTTCTGATATTTGAATTCTCGGGGATTTTATGGATCTATTTGGTTACGTCCAACCCTCGCCTTCTGATTCGCTTGGCACGTGTTTCTTTGTAGCGATGTTCATAGTTAACCTCAACTCGACGCCACGCTACATAGTAAATATAATCCCTATACAAAATAAAGAGGTGAATCAGTACTTGAGCTTTAATGTTCTGACGTTTCCTTAGATTTTTTGGTCAACTCAACCGTTTAACCTAAGTTGTTGTACAACTAGCAGATAACCTTTTATTCATCTCTAGCTCAACAAGAATAATCTCAGGTGTTGTGGTTTTTTCTCATATGAATTAAGTAATAAAACTATCACTAATTGGTTGATCTTCTCTACATTTAGTCCCCGAGATTTATGTCTCATTTAAAGAGACACTGTACAGTGACATCGTGGACTTCATAGTAGGAATGTGCGTGCATTTTAAATATTTAGGAACGATTCTGGAAAGACCATGCAGAGTCGTCTTAAAACTTTTGGTTTAAAAGAACAAAACTCAAGGTGCTGGCTCCAAATTTCTATCCGCTACTCGAAATCATTTCACCTTGTTATACATTATAAATTACTGTTCTTCATTACTGTATTTTCTTACCTTTAACAATAATTTATCCTAGTGATGTCAGTTAGTATGAGTTTTGCCTACCAACTTACCATACCCTTGTCCGTTCATATCCAAGTGCTTTCCTGTTCGTCTGTTCTTCATTTCTTTCAGCATCGCGTTCGCAGTGCACGTCTATGGAACTTATTCTTACACGTGTAACAAACTGAAAAAAACCTAACGTACGCGTTTTTATAGATCACCGTTCAGACCTTCTTTATAAACGTCATTTTGGTTGGTCTGTAGTGGCATTGGACAATAGCCACACAATCCACAAAGCTGTGAACACGAGACTACTCAGAAAATAGATATTCAATATTTAACGCGGAGAAATACCTAACAATGGAGAAGGCGAGAACAATGGATTGAATGGACTGGAGTTGATCGAGTGGCATGGCTCGGCCATGCAGGCGTGGTCCCTGCTGGATGTTATCTTATATCTCCTATTCATATTAAATATATTGTTCTTTCTCTAGCCTAACCTTGTTCTCCATCATATATTGGTAGTTGTTACGATACAGTGAGTTGGTGTAGTCGATGATGTGACTTCCACGTAAGATCTTATAGATTAGGCAGTTATATCATGACAAATCTACAATTTTAGGATTAGGTCTATTATTAGAGCAGTACTAATATCATAGCAGACCATAATTCTACAGGTCTTTGGTTGCTTGCAGAGCTTCCTGAGGTATCGCTTACTGTCTATGTTTTGCGGTCTATTTTGGATTTTGGAGGGTCGTCTAACCGATGGTCTTTGGGATGTCAGTTATATTTCTGCTGTAGCACTTGCCAAATCTAAAGTTTCTGTTCGTCCAATGGTTTTACTTTTTGCGGTGTCTTTGTCATTACACAGGCGGGATAGCTTGGCTAAAGTGATGTCTTCTCAGAATTGTATGATATTTGTCCAACTATTTCCTATCAAAGCCTGTCCTACTTTCGAATAACCTACTCTCCGACGCTTAAATATCAAATAAAATGAGAAAGTTTTGTATAATGTCGTCGTACGGAATTCCACTTTTTTGACAGCTAGATTGCTGCTATTTTCCCTTCTCAACGCTCACTCATTGCCCACTACTGTTAACAGTTACTTGGGTGTGATAAACCAACAACTTGATGAAATTACTACGAGAAAAGAATAGAAGCTATCCGATAAACCTCAGTGGGTGCTATGAAGGTTCTAAAACTACACGCTATTAATAATGTTAAAGTATAAGGTAGTTGAGGGTTACATAATAGATTGTCACAACAATATACAATCGATACTGAATTCTGGTTTGTGAGCAGAAAAATCAGATCACGTTATAAATGATTCAAATGTTTGTGGACGGAATAGAAGAAGCTTTCGCTTGACAGGCTTCCGTGTCTAGTAGCAGGGGATCACCAAATCCTCGATGCAGGAGCCTAGGTATGTTAACAATAAAAGAGGAAAAAGAAATTCGTAAATCATAGTATGATACTATCCTTAGTCCTAAAGAATAGATCAAGTTGCATCTCAAAGGACTCCTGGGAAGTCGCTTGAACTAGCTCAACCGGCAGCGAATCCCAGCATCTAACAACCCTTCAGGAGTGGGGGTTGTGTCTACAGTCTGTTCTCCTATGTTGTGTCTCAACTTTCTACAAGTTACCCCCTAGATTTGTCTTGAGGCTCAACTTAAGTAGGTGTTTGAGAGGATGTCCAGAAGTGTTAATGATACTGTAAGCCATTAAAAGGTCACTTCGAAGACGTCTATACTCTAATGGGTAAAGGTTAAGTGAATGGAGGCGCTCTTCATAAGGTTCAAATTTGAGTCCTCGAACTGATTTCGTGGCTCGCCGTTGGATACGCTCCAGGGTGTCCTTACCCTTTTGGAATGAGGGGGGAAATACTATGTTTCCGTACTCTAAATGGGGACGGATAAAACTATTGAAGATTATATGGAAAGTTCTTCCGTCAAACTGGCCAAAAATGCGCTTCAACGTTACCAGTGCAAGGTTTTCTCGAAAGGTATTTTCGTCACAGTTAGCGTAAGACTTTAAATCGTAGGGCACCAGGACTCCTAAATCTTTTCCTACTTGGGATACTACTAGAGAGGAGTTTCCTAAGTTGTAACTGCAGTCTGCGACATGTCGCAGATGGACTACTTTACACTTTGAAGTGTTAAAGGTAAGTCCGTTATCGTCTGCCTAACTTTGAAGTCGAGTCAGATCCTCCTGAAGTGCCTGCCTATCGTCTTGGTTGCGTATCTCTCCTCAAAGTTTCACGTCGTCGGCAAAAAGTAATAAGGCTGACGTTACCTGTTGGGTAAGATCATTTATGTGAACCAAGAAGAGAAGAGGTCCTAGTACTGAGTCCTGGGGGATCCTACTAGGACATTCCATAGCCTGAGATAAGGTGAAATTAGCCCTGACCTTAAAATGTCGATTTTCGAGTATGAAGTAAGCCAATCGATTAGAGGTGGTCTGATGCCCAATCGTTTGAGCTTATTGATGAGACATGTATGGTTAACCTTATCAAAAACTTTTGAGAAATCTAGGTAGATGATATCAACCCTCCCCTTGTGATCAAGGATGCTTGTCCATCTGTCCACCGCAGTCAGCAGGTTGGTAATACAAGAATAACCCTTCCTGAAACCATGCCGTTGAGGTGAGAAGAAATTTAAGGACAGTAAATAGTCATATATACCATCGCATATGAAGGACTCCTTGATTTTTGAGGGTATGGAGAGAAGAGCCATCGGTCGGTAACTTGAAGGTTCGCTGAGTCAACCTCCTTTGAAAATTGGTGTGATGTGAGTCAGCCTCCAATTTTCCGGTAGTTTTCCTCGACTTAGCGAGTGTGAGAACAGCACGCTAAGCGGCGTTGCCAAGATTGAGGCTGCTTCCCTCAGTATGGCAGAATGGACCATATCCGGGTCAGAAGTGTCTAATCTTAAGTGTTGCAGTTTCCGGAACACCAAGTCAGCGCTCAAGCTCACTTCGGAAAGTTTTTTGGAGTTGTAGATGAAGCTTTCATCAGTATAGTTGATGTGGGTCAGTTGAAATGTCCGAGAGTATTGTTCAGCCAAAAGGTTAGCGGCGTCGCCGTCGTCGTTGGTCGGGCTGTTAAGACGTAGCAGTTGGGAAAATCCAAGTTTTCAGTAAGTTCGAATTTCAGAGCTGTCCTTAAATTTTTTGATGTTTAATGTACTAATACATTAGGCTGAAATTCTCTTTGTTTGAGTGCATAGGTTTCGCATTCCTTAAAACATCCGTGTTGTTTAGTTTCTTGAGGTCACCGAAGGTCGAGTCGCCGACATAAATGCCCAGCGAGAGCTGTGGTTTTCGCGAAAGTGGTTAGTATTCCAGTTGTTTATTAGACTGAAGATGAAAAACACATTGTTGGCATAGAATTCTTTTGCGTGAATACAGTCATAACCAACCAAAATTACGTAGCATTTTAGTGACAGCGTCTTAAACAGAGCAATCTACCTAAATATTTTACTTTTATTCTAAACCAGACGTATAGGCTTGTGCAATTAATTTTTATTCGTGTTACGTTCCCCAATTTTGTTACCCTTGGTTCATGTTTGTCTTTTTTAAAGAGTACTAATAGTTTGCCTGGAGCTCAGATACGTGGTCACTCGTCGTGTATAGTTATTATAAAGGATCGTAGATATTGAGCACACAGTCAGCTGTTCATTCTTGCCTGTTGTTCACCTAAACTTAATGAATGTGAGGTGTCAAACGTTCTAGTCTTGTGACTACTGTATCGTTTTGCATGATAGACTGGTCAGGACTTCACCTTCAAGTTTAGCCTCTAAATCATTTAGAAACTGCAGCTGGTAGTTGATAATGATATATAAAAGCTGCTATAAGTAATATAGTATGTGAAAGGCTAATTGAAGCCTTTAGTGCATCTGTTTACATTGGTCATGATCATACTCAGTAATGATTCTTAGCACTAACTTCATACTCTAACTTCGAATTTTTACAGCTACTGGGACGAGACTGTGATTTATGTATAAACCAGTGAGATATAAGATATCGGGCCTTGGATTTTGGCGTGAAATTCATTCATCCATTGGCTAAATAGCGTTCTGGCATTTTAGCTGATGTCAGTTCGTGATAAGAGCCCTAAAACTAGTTCTTAACCCTAACCAACTGAAAATCATAATTCTAACTCCTCACATTGGTTCAGGACCCTCACTATGTCCTAGTTAGTAGGTGGAGATTAGGAATGTTTTTCTAGCGTCGTTAAACAGTCCATGATTTATAGTCTCACCAATGTTCCTTATATTTACAAAACCCAATCGGCATAAAAGCTTAAACTCAGTTACGTAATGGATTATTCAATTCCATGTTAGTATTAAGTGATGTTATAACAGACAAACTTTGAGTTTGCAGAGAATGGTAAAGAATATTTGTTGAAATCATAATCACTTTGTCTTGGATACTTTATTCCGTCTTACCATTCGAATTCATTTTGTGTTCTTTCCTGGTGTCCATCATATTTCCATGATGCTTTTCACATAATTTTCATTTCAACTAGTCATCTATCTGGTTTTTTGCTTGAAGATTCAAAAGATAACCTGAAATACTCAAGATCAGATTTGAATGGGCAATCAGAAATAAATGAAAATCAACTGTTCCGAAAAAATTCAATCGAAAATTTACTCGATATGCCAATCCTTAGAAAGGAGCTGACCGAAATATTGTCATTCTCTGCTCTTGTCCCTTCACTTAAACCGTCATGTGTATATAGACAACTGGATGACCAAGTTTCACCAGAATCCAACATTCCAATGTTAGTCAAGCGCTACTTTGATGAATTTGGATTTCGAATAGATGATCTTGGTAATATTTTGTGTAAATCATCCCCGTACACTTTAATTAACCCGTTTTATATAGCCCATCAGTAAGGATAATATCGGTAATGTTGAGTACATATAAATCTAAAACAAACACCAAAAGGGGTCCTCATCGATAAAGCCGAGCGAATGAAAAGCACCTTGCACTTCGTTTTATAGAGATTCAGGTATTAAATACAACTGCAAATGACAGAAAATGTGAAGACATTAAACTAAATTAGGATTAATTAATTGTAGCCAGTTACTGTGTATAAAATAAACTAGTTTACGTATGTTTTGAAATAAATTGTCTGATTAGATTTCGAAACCGTACAATTATATATAAATTCATTTGACTGTGTTTCGGATTATGTTTATTTATGTACCATCGCAATTAAACTAGAATACCTGAAAAGTGACAAGAGGGCGGGCCTTTTGATACTGGATGGCTGTACCTCTAAAAGGTAATAATAATGACAAGATTTGGGATACAGTAATGGAAAGAATAGGTCACTCTGTTATACGAAATATAACTACTGCCAAACGGCTAACGAAACGATTATGTTACAGATAAAGCTAAGATAGATGCGAAAAAGTAAATGGAAGAATAAAAATTTGAGCAGTTTTATAAACCGAAACGACACGTTATGTCTTAGCTACATTGTCAGTCTAACTTCCAGCCGTGATTCTAAGAAAACAGATTATTCGGCCTAACCGACACGACCATCAAACGCCCTTACGCAATCCATGTATGCTAAATTCACCAAGCGTGGTGTCTAAATACAAGACGGAGAAGTTGATTTCTCTCTTCATGATAGTGCATTGAATGGAAAGCGAATTTCGGTTCTTTATTGGAACTCAAAATCTGAAATTTAGCAGTTTTTTTATTGGTATTCTAATAGAACATCTAAGGATTTTCCCTTTCATTTACTCAAATCTATAACGTTCATACTATGAAATTATGTGTAATTATTCCCTTGGTTTACATTTTAATAAACGATAAGGGTTAGAATTCCTATATCCACACCCTAAGCGAATAGGTCTTAACTTTGAATCCATCAACTATCATGACTAAATAGAAACGTGCAGCTTTATCGGCATTTCAACCACTATATCCTAATGCAGCACAATAAGCTTTCTTGCTCCATCCGAACTAGTATGTAGAGTGAAGACTACAGCTATCAGCAAACCCTCAGCAACGTTATACGGTATGAAAATTGTACGTCGCAGATCAGTTAGTTGGCAGGATTAGCTTTAATCGGGTCGATACTGTAATTGCCTTTGCCAGTGTAACTGCGTCACCATTGAACGCAAAGTATGAAGCGATCAAAGTATCAACAAGTTATTTTGGAGAACGCTGAAGTGAGAGATCAACAAGAGACAGGCTGTTTCGATTCACTCTTCCTAAATGTACCGTTTTTGGGAAGATGTTTCTAAAAACGAACAACTCAATAGAAAGGTCATATAGAGACTCTAGCCAACTAATTGGCGCCACTTATCCAAACATTTATTGATGCCCTCAAACAGGAATAGAGTCCAAATGAATTAAAAATTGAACAGTCTGTTTCAGGTATCCGCTAAATAGCATGTAAAAACTAAGTGCAAGGCAGTAGCAGCATGTATCTGGCTGGTTGTAGGTGATTGCGTAAGTTGTTCGATACTAAACTTCTCATACAAAATATTACACAATTTGAGTTTGCATATTTAGACATATTAACCTGTTATAAAAATTAATCATTTTATCTAATCGCTCGTTTGCAACTAGTGCTTATTGATATGCTGATTTGATAAGAAGATACCGTCCTATATCAACAAGGTGTTATTTTTAATTAGTACATATTTACAGTAGAATTATGCATGTATAGTGTTGAAATATTGAAAAGATTGATTAAATTCCATTTTTATATATTGTCCGTTGTACTTAGATTGCTTATCTCTTTATGATTATCTGTCAAAAATTAAAATGACTTCAATTATAGGACCTTATTCAGCCATATCATCTGTTCACTTTCTATATTTAACGCGGAGGAGTTCATATTCATGCCTAGTAGTTTTGAGATCATGACATATCCATACCTAAACTTTTAAAAAGTTATGTGTTAATTACTTCTACTTTAACTTATTTGTCAGGTTTGTATATTGTGACGATCTAATCGAGATATATTGACTGGGACTCTCGTTCTTTTATGTCATATCATGCTAGGCAGTTCGGTCGGCGAGTGATAAGACTAAACGTCTCAAACTTAAGGTCAAGGATTGAAGTCATACAGTCAACTGCACAGGGGTTTGACAGTAGTACGATGTCTCCATCATACAACTAACTGCTTTCTCGTAAATAAAGGAAGGGGTTAGAAAAATACGTCTTCGAAAGTGGCACATCCAACTCTTCCCCACTGATTTTCGTCACTGACGGTAGGATCTGAAAATTACGGAGTTAACGTATCAAAACTGTAGTCGTCAATATAATCTTTGATCTAGTTTTTTTTCGATACTTCAAGAGACAACCCTTCCAGGGTATTAGCATTTTGAAAATGACAACTACCTTCATACAATTAACGCCACACGAGATCACCTTACATTTAAAACTTATTTACCCCATGAAATTTCTGTTTTTCACTCCTAACCCTCATTTTCAGTTTTCGGTTCCTTCCATACGCACTAATGACTCAAGTTCACTAAGTTCTATCCCAGGTTTACTAAAACCGCATTTCGAACTACATGTGGAAGCTTATTGTGTTCAGACCCTATGTGGAATCGGGCGATACATCCAGGATCGCAGCGTGATCATTTACTTGGTCTCACCTACCCAATGTAAGGAGCTAATGTGACTTACCATTTCTGAAACTAAAGACTCGATAGAAACTTTTTGTAGCCTTGTTGGCGACTATGTAGAATATTCAAGAGGCAGTCAACAACAAGAAGAAATGAAAAAGTCGGGATCGTGAGGTCTTGTCTGATACCGGTCATCACTTGAAATGCATTTTGATTCGCTTTGTAGTGAAGTTTCCCGTAAGAGATCTATGTGTTATTGACGATCTTCTCAGGTATTCCCAAGTGTCGAAGAAGACTTAACAAGGCTTCTTTATCCACGTTGTCAAATGCTTTCTCAGTCTTGGAAGTTGATATATAATGGTAAGTTTCATTCAATTGATTGTTCAACAATGATCCGTAGCTTCTCAATTTGGTCGGCACATTCACAAGCCAACTTGTTGACCTCTAAATTGAACGTCCACTGAATTCTTCATTTGGTTCAACAATACTCTGTTGCAGACTTTATCTGGTACTAACAGTAGTGTGATTCCTCTGTAGTTTTCACACCTAATAAGACATCTTTTCCTTGATATGTTGATAAGGTGTCCCTCTTTCCTATCTTCATGTATTTATTCTTCCTTTCAAATCTTTTTTAAGAGAAAGTGAAATATCTTTGTAGTTACCTCTGTATCGGACCTCAGTGCTTCGGCTGGTATGAGTTTCTAGTCCTGCTGCTTTCCCACTCTTGATTTATCTGATGGCTTTGCTAATTTATTCCATTGTTCGTGACCCAACACCTGTCATAAGGTTTATGTGTGTTTTTCAATGTTCGGTGAACTCAGCAATGTCTTCAAACAGCTCCCATTATTAGTGAGTGCGTAGCATTGAATGACATTTGTGGTAAATTTTGCTTGTTTGTTTCGAAGGATGAGTTGCTTGCTGATGCTGGTTGGGTGGGTTTCTCATTCTATTAGTGGATTATAGGGTTCTGTGGAGAGGATTAGTGGTATTGCTTTTGTGTGGAGCATTTATTTATTTATTTAAACATAAATATTGGTACAAGGAAGTGCCAAACAGATATGCGCCACATAAGCCATTCGATTTGTGTGAGGGCTGGGATACTGCCAGGGTACCCAAACAAAAACAACTGATTTTCTTAAGGGGCCACACGCCGAGCCCCTAAGCCAAAGGTCTAATCCACGAGGTAGTGGAGCAACGTAAGGAGATGTCGTCCCATTTTAGCCGGTAACCAACAATCGGTTCATACGCTATTTGTTTCCTTAGGATCCTGGAGGCCACGTACACCATTGGTTTGGAATCAGGGTTCTCCAACTCCTTAGGTGGATCCTCTGTATCCATCAACCCTGTTAAAACCCCGGATATTCACTTTTTGTCCTCTCAATTTCGTAAACAACACCCCCATCGCGAGAAGGCAGTAAGTAGGACTTCCCTGACAGTGTGAATATGCATATAGCAACTTGAAAGCACTTCGAGAAGGAGAGCTGACTCTCCCCACTCTCGGCCCTGCTAGGGAATTCGGGGGCATCTTTTCCTTGATAATGAGAAAACAACAATTTATCTTGTGGTTAGTCTTCTCTTTTCAGATTGCGTCTAACGAGTTTCACTTGTCCTAAGCATGATCTGATCAGCTTATATTTTCTCATTTCTATAGCCATTCGAATGACACTGCCGATCTGCCACATTGCTCATACACTCCATATTGTTATGCATATTGTTGTTTTGTAGCCATCATCCTCGTATATTACCAACCTAGTGACCAATACTACCATTTGTAGTGTAGTTATTTTATATGGTATACGTAAAGGGAATCACAAGTTTCCTTCGAAATTAGAGTTGAACTAAGGAATAATGTAAGTAATATGTACATGCTTATTACCATAAAAATAAATACAACAATTTCGCATATACAATCAGTCAAATGCTACTTAATTTAATTCCCCTCACTCTGATGGAATATTTTTTCATTCAGTGGTTTCCTAATACTTTGTTAGTGTGCATTTCGCTTGTTTATCTATTCCTGACAGTCATCATTATTTTTACGTAATTGGTAGAGAAAATTGACTTTCCATGCCTTGTCCCTCTCTAAAGTTATTATCAATTCCTGATCTAATAAACGAAAATGAAATATGTACAAAGTAGAGACTATAACAAGTTGTGACCAAACTCATGTTTTAAATAACTTGTCATATAACTAGTGCATAATTAGAAAAATCGTCCAGTGTTACTTGTATCGAGATTTTTTATTATTGCTTTTGCCGGTTTGTGTTATCATTTTATGTAGGTCTTTTTCGCTTAGTTGTTATTCAATATAATTTTTAATAGTTAAACTTTGTTTTATCTTATTTTCCATAAGGGAACTTATCATTACCTTAGTACGTGAAAAAAGGTTTAATATTTAAGAGTGAATTAGGCAAAATTAATTCATACTTTTGAGTAAGTTGTATGTATTCATCCTTGATACAAATACACAAAACCAAATTATATGTAATCTTATCGAAACTTCATCGTCAAAGCAGTCGAATAATAGCACACCATACATATATGCATATATGCTACCATACAGCGTAACATCAGAAGGGAAATCGATCAACAAAAAGAAATATTGAAATAATCAGAAAGCATGCATCTTTTACCAATTCTTTTAAGTACAGTGGTCAGACAGTGCCAATAATTCAATTATTTGAATGATATCAATTCTGATTAGTTTTTCGTAGTGAATAAAATGTATGATTGGAAAACCTTATTCTAAAATGAAGAATATTTGAGCGAACAATTGTTTTCAATAACTTCATCATCAGGCTCTACAGTTATAAGTCCATAATTATAATACTTTACAAAGGCCAAAAATAAGGCATGTTTTAATGAGTTTGACAATGTTATGTGTTAAAAATGGTGAACGTTTGCATCTGTTACGAATACCTAGACTGAATATTATAAACCTCTTACCCCTTCCTTCCTTCATTTTTATTTATTTTCCTTATTATCATAATTTGTCATTATCTATATCTTAATCTTCATATCCATCATTCCCAATTTGTTGACCGTAATTACCTTGATAACACCCCCCTTATTACATATTATATTCACACAACATTATTATTATTATCTCAGTTGACAAAATTATTTTCAATTTTGCATTAGTACCATTATCTTATTGTGACTGAACAATTTACTGACCTTTATTGAATGACCTTTCTAATTTGCAAATATTACAATTTTTTTGAAGTATATATATATATATCGTAACAGATGCAAACGTTCACCATTTTTAACACATAACATTGTCAAATTCATTAATACATGCCTTATTCTTGGCCTTTGTAAAATATTATAATTATGGACTTATAACTGTAGAACCTGATGATGAAGTTATTGAAAACAATTGTTCGCTCAAATATTCTTCGTTTTTGAATATTCTATGGGGATTTTTAAATTGCTGAAACCTTATTCTCCTGATTAGTTTTTTTATTCAATCAGAACTATCAATATATCTATAGTCCCCATTCATTTCAGTAATGTTTAGGAGTAGTAGCTATCATTTTCGGATTTTAATCATTCTACTTTATAATTTAATCTACTGCCTAAAAGTTTAAAAAGCAACTAGTTCAGAATTAAGCATCTGATACCCTTGATATGCTTCAATTAGTTGCTTAAAAGGTAGAGTAACTGGAATGAGTCAGCCATCGATTTTAATACTTCACTTAGTTTAATTTGTGCAGCTAGGTAGTTTCGCTAGCCCTCACACAAACAACCAGGCTCAGAGCCAAGGATATAAACTTGTATGTGATGAGTTAGCTACTGTTTCAGACTGGTTATTTTTGAATATTTTCATTGGGTTTGTTTAGCTGTCTGGAAGATTTACAGTTTATCTTTATCCAGTTCGGTTGGTAATACTTTTATTTTACTTTAGAAAATAAGTTGTGCACAGTGTACAATTTTCTTTCACATAGCTGTCACCTTCATCATTATATATGTATAATAGATTGTGTCACTATTTTATGTTCTATATAGAAAACCTTCCATGCCCATTCATCGAATCATCTGCCAATCGACGTGCTTGGTTGACCTGCTTGGAATTCTCTCATACTCATACACTGGGTATATCAAGTCTAGACGAATATGATGCCAGATATAGTTCAGTTGGATCTACCGTCGATGAAGATGATGATCAATTATGGTCAAGAGTAAACTTGCGTTTAGTTCAGTCACCCAGACTAACAGAACTTATTCGAGGACAAGCCTTAGATGTAGAAGCCCTTGCTAGATCTGGTGAACAACTTGGGATTCCTCATTCTCTTCGACCTCATATATGGCCTAGACTAACAGGAGCCTTATTAAAGGCAAAAGAATCTAAACAACGGATCCCTTCGATCACATATACTGAATTAGTTCAACTCAGCTCTACAGACACACTTTTGGCCGGAATTCAGATTGAAAAGGTTGCTTATTTGTTATATCGCTTTTAACTTGTTTATAAACAAATTGTTCGTTAATTTTGTAGTATTTACTTATTGAATAATTATATTACATTAATGAGGCTCATAATAATAAGTAGAAAACGAAAACGGATTATATGTCAAATATGCATTGCTCTTATTAATTGGAAAATATTCTCATACAGTTTGTTTGGTAAATGCAATTATTTACATACTTTAATTTTGTTTGATTTCTGTCAGATTTTATAGTGAAATTAGTTTTAGTATTTGAAATCTAAATATATACATACAGTCATATGTACATCTTAATGTCCTCTTTATCGAATGAAATATTTAGAACCAAGCATGTAGTAAGATCGGCATCCTGTCTCGATGGCTTACTATTCAGTTTTCTTGGCTACCGATTTTATAAGGAATTAAACCAAGTCCGATTTTCGTAGCAAGAACATCACATTTAGATGATCAGATTAATTTATTGGAATGTATAACAGAGCAGTCCCTTCTCTAAATAAACATGTAACTAGCTTTTAGAGTTCTTATAAGATATGCATAATTAATAGTTGAGAGAAAAGTATAAACTGCACGCTCCATCCTCGGTCTTTGTGTTTTGATTTTGGATTAACATCGCCACTCTGTTCAATGACAACAGTAGTCCATTAGGACAGTAACTATTTGCATTAAACTCTTCAAACATCCTACTTTGAAAGAAATCTAATGGAAAATTGTTTTATCTGCCACCTACACTAGAAAGTTTTCAAAAACTCGAATATGCAAATCCATTTGTATTACTTTTCATTGTCAACTTTTGTTATCACCTTTAATTGATGATAACTTCGTTTATTGTTGACAGGGTTCTATCGCATAAAAAGAATAACAAATAGTCGAAACTCCGTAAAATCATTTATCACCACTCATTGAATATACAGTAGCTCCTTGTTTTACATGTATAAGTAATGGTCGATTCCGACATAACAATTGGCGACGATCAGTGATAACAATAATACAAATTGAAATTTCAGTGAAATGTGATTACTCCTCTCTTCACCGCCTTATTTCTTTTATGTTCTAGGATCTTTTCCGTACAATGCCAAATAATCTATGTTTCCATTCCTCAAATTCTACTGGTATTTCGCGACTGCGTCGAGTTCTGCGTGCCCTAGCTTGGTTGTATGTAGATGTAGGATATTGTCAAGGCATGGGATTAGTAAGTCAATAAACAAAAACAGTTCGTTGTTTAAATTTCCTCCTTTCTCAAAAAAGCTCGATTAATAATTATTCAAACAAAAAAACTTCGTATTATAAGGCACCAAGAAAGCCTCCATGGTAAAGTAAGTGATAGTTAAGGTAGAAAGTTTATTGTTAGTGGAAGGTCAGTTGTACCTAAGGCTTATCGCTACAATAATATAAATAGTGGCTGCAAAAATACACTATATGATTTCGATATCGAAATCCAACATTCAATATCGTCTTTCAAGGGGTAACTCGTTTATTTACTGAAAACTAAGATTGATCAGATCCTACTACTTAGCCCAGTAGACCTAATAATAAAAACTGATAAATATTCGGCATAAACAAACAATCAAACACCACAATAAACAACTGTTATTATAGAATACCTTAATACCAAATCCCATTCTATATTATGCTGTGCCACTAAATATCTCGTATTAACAATATTTGTTATTTATCCGTACAATTCTCCTCTGCTTTTCCTTTTTACCATCCATTGGGATTATATATAGCTATGACCTTATTAACTAAAGCATATCTACCACTGTTTTATCGGGTTTTTTGAAAAAAATATTTTTTAACTATTGATTTCATTATTTTTACTAACTTTTTCTGTTTCCTGTAAACGAATTAGTTTTATTTTCATTATAGTAGTATAACCTGAACTATTATTGCTTCGGTTTTTAGTAGAAATAAGCTTGAACCAAGGGGGGAAATTTATTCGCCTGTTACTTAGAAATTTGTTTCACAATGTGCTGTAAGATAAGAGAAAAGAAGTGAGGTCAATTATAATTGCTTCGATAGTGTTAATAGCTTTAATGGTATACCCTCTATACTAATAGTCATTATGACAAAATCGCACATAAACGTTCCAAATCTTAGTGAGGAAGTTCCACGTATTAGGCCAGTAAAGCATGACCTGACGGCAGGAACTCACTTTGTCAATTGGCCTGAAGGTTGTTAGTCTAACCCCTATGGTAAGAAGCTTTTCTAAGGAGTTCCAAAATAAAAGGCTACATTTTTTTTAAAGTTCACCTAATAATGATCAGTATGTCTAGAAATTAAATTGCAATTAGTTATCAATAAGCAATAGAAATAATTATTTAAATCCATAAAAAGCCATGATTTTTACAAGAATAGTAATTAAAGCTTAACACGAAAAAACATAATGGCCCTTACTCAGTCTTGTAGGTCATTAGTACCTCACTCATTCATCAAAACACGACTTCTAATGTAACCTGATTTTATCACATTGTTTAATATGTGTATGTTTGTGCTGCATGACATTCATCTAGCCCGACGACTACAATATTTGTGCGAACATTTCTTTGAACTTCGTTAACCACAATAAATTAACCTGAATTTTCATTTCATTTTTTTCACTAACCTTTTATGCGTACAATAGATAGTTGCAAATTTATTATTATGCTTAGAAGAAGAAACAGCTTTTTGGATGATGTGCAGTATTATTGAGGATCTTCTACCACCATCATATTTTTCGTCACTTAGTTTATTGGGTGTACAAGCTGACCAACTTGTACTGAATCATCTACTTCCATTCTATCTACCAGAATTAGATGCACGTTTAAAAGAATATGAAATAAGTAAGCAAAATGTTCATTCTTCAAAATACCGTGAACAGATTCTCCGTTTTTTCATACATAACATCTAATTTATAGGTGTTGAATTAATCTTTGTATCTAATATCAAATGATGTAAGACAGTTACTGGTAATAATATGTTATAACTTGTGGCCCTGTGCCCCTATCAGTATATAACGTAATGATACCACCAATTAGAGAACAGCGACTTATCGACTAGACCAATGACGCGTAAACCCGTACGAGTGGTCTAGAATCCTTATCAGACCGTCTCCCTGCCTAGCAATGCCTGTTGAGTCCAAAACACCAATCTCAGCCTCTGAAATATGAGTCATGTATTTCAAACACACTGTATTTATATACAAACCAAACAGACCACATCTCACCACAAAATAGAAAACAATATTTGTACAAGATCTGGCCAAAAGTGGCTGTGAATGTGGGAGATTGTAATTAATAGACTGAGCATAATTCAAGAACAGTAAATCGCATAATAATAGTCTATGGGTCAAGACAAAGCTTATAATAGGAGGAAATTGAATATGCATAGTTTAGTTACATAACAATTATACAATAAAAATATATGCATCATATTGGTCCATAAATGGGTCTCAAAATTACTATTCATAATTCTCGTCAGGATATAGCATAATATAATTCCTACTACTATCCCATCTTTTCTGTCAACCAAGTGCTTAAACAATAAAATGAGAAGTTGATCTCATTTTTACAGTTATATTATTTTTTTCCGTAGAAAGGAAACCTGTTTTTCCACTAAACTGTTTGTAAAAGTAATGATGCATTACCTTTCCAACGTTGAGTTGCGTCTTGTATTTTTCAAGAAAGTAGCTTATTATGTCATATATATATTGGTTTTTTGACTCATCGCTTTTCGTGATATTGTTTATCTACACCAGAGGATACACAAGAATCAACATGAATGCTAGGTCACAAAATGTGCCATCAAAACAGATTTTCTATCTATTTTTTATTGATCGAAATCTTGATTTTTATTTTCTTATTTTTCTGTGTATGTGTGCTCACTATTTTGAGTATAAAATAAATAGCCTTAGTTATTTTACTATATCAATCGAAACATGGTGATCGTTACATGGTATCCTGTCACTGAGCTTAAAGAATCAGACACCTACTTGCACAGACTGGTGAATTTCGATTGCTTTTGTAAATGAAAAAGCATGATACCTTATAGACAAAATTATATGTATTTATTTATGAACTATATTCTCTTTGACTGTGACTATTTTAAATGCTGGAGAGGAAAGTAGGGATATTACAGAAACGTTTGTACTAATCACTTTGTTGAAAGGTCCTGTTTAGCAGAATTAAAACTGTTCTACAATATTGAAAAAAAATTTTGATCGCACCAGACGAGTAAAAAGTTACAGGTATTTTGATAAACCTTATCCTGCCTTATTGACTGTGATTCGATAAAATTTCATTGGTCTTCCACAGTCAGTATATCTCCCCAACAAACATAATCGAATTGACCATTAAACTTTCTATACAAAAGTCTGTAACAACTACAAGTCTTTTAGATTCCATTAGCACATTATTACGAGTTATGTTCTGATGGTTTTACCAGTCCTACTAAATGTAACCATATCTTAAATCAAACCACCTTCAGTTGTGTTTCATATAATCTCTTCCAGGCAGACAAATAAGCCCAAAGGATTAACCAATCTTCTAGGTACTGTTGTGACGTACGGCGGCCAAAATCTGATACTGATACACGGTATGCTATGCGCTAACCCCCCAACTGACTACTTGAGCGATAAAGTGTTTTGATCTACCGAATGAAATGCACAAATATTCATATATATACCACTCTATCCTTAGGAAATTAATCCATTGACCCCACTGAAATGTACTTGAGCTTGGGTCACTTATGATTACCATCGATTGACCTTTTGCTACTTCTGATTGGCTCTCCATATCAAGTACACTTGCATTTTTGTAGAAAATGATACAACTCAGAATTTTCAAATAGTTTTTCAAAGTTGATCCCATTAACTTAACAGTTAAACCAAGCTGATTGAGTAAGCACCATGATTATTTCAAACATTTGTTAACTTGTTTTCTTTTTTTCCTTTTTACACTCTGGACACAGGCCTACCGCTCATTACGCTACAATGGTTTCTCACGCTGTATTCAAGTGTATGTCCTACAGCTTTAACATTTCGAATATGGGATTTATTATTTTATGATGGTTCAGTTGTTCTATTTCGCATCGCCCTTGCACTTTTATCCTACAAAGTATGTACAAAGTATACTTACAAAGAATATATATATAATTTGATTGAATTTCTTGGCTTCGATGTTATATGTAAATTGCACCTAATATTTATTTTCAGTCACAAGATATCTTTATTCAGTATTTAAGTTGGATTGACAAAATGAACAAAATTTAGGATGTGGTAAATTGTCGAAAACAATAACAGATAATACAATTGTAACATCTTACTTAAGACATCCAATTTGGCTTATAAGTCATTGATGAGTGAAGTATTTTTTTTTGTGATTGTCTAAAGTTAATTCATTAGTGCCGAGAAAATCCTTATATGATGTTGACCGAAAGAACATCCCGTGAATTACCCGTATCTGATTATCTATCAAATCATAAATATAAATACTTTGTCAAGGTCAGACCACCTATAGTGAATAATTAAACATTATATTATCATTCCAAACATTTTGTGCTTTCATCATCTTTATTTTCTTTTTCCTACTATGTTGGGGACATTTAACTCCCCAATAACAACTTCTAAGGCTTACTTTTTTATAATTTGTTCTGCACATATTTGAATTCAGCGGTTTTCTTGGCAATTCTCCCTACGCTATATATCCTTCGTTTTTACCGCTCTTAAAGCTACTATTTCTTCCTATTGGCTTGCGGATATCTTAGTTCACTGATTAGTTACATTAATCCTATGGACACTTCAGATATACGTATATACAACAGATGTAGACTTTTATCAAACTTCATGTGAAATTGGCAAATTTCTTAGTCACGTATTGTCTTCTATCTTCGCATTAGCTGGGACTGGGTGAAATGAAGAGAAAAGCGTCACTTGTTCATCGTCCATGTAAGTCAGTGTTCAGCAAATATGCGTTATTTATAATCGAGCTGTATCTTATTAAATACAAATTAGGTCCATAGTACGTTATTTTTCAAGACCTATTTTTGGTCTGTTAAAAATGTATCCAGATAATTCGTCAGCTTCACTGTTCACTTTACAAACTGCTATCATACTAATTTTTCATATCCAGTTGCCAACTTATTGACTCATACGTCTTATCTTATGCGATGACAATAGAACATTGTTGATGCGTTCAATGCATAGTAACAATTTTAAGTTGGATCAAATATTAAAATAAATCTGGAAACATCTATTACATCAAAAATAGATTTGTAGTAAACTGTTTGTTGTGGGGACGGATTTCGAGAAGCACGATGGAACCGAAGAGTTTCCGCCCAATCAGAACCTGGTGGAGCTTTCTATGATATTAACGTGACATGCTACGATTGGACGGTAGCATAACTTGCCTCCTTGTGGATTGGCTGCACTATAACGATGTTATGACCCATGCTAGTAACTATGACCAAACATGTTTTTCCGTACACTTTTGATTCTTACCCATAAATCATTTATCCTGCCTCTTCTGGTTTGCAGCTACCGGGTTCTACACATTCGAACGTCGTTTGTTATGTATCATATTCAGTGCTAATCAAGTAGAGGACTTAACATTTGTAATCTAAATTAACATTTTCCAGAAATAGATTCAACATGTTGCTTTTTGACCATGAATGAAAACCAGGATAGTCTAAAACAGCGCTGTGGTCTGAAAAGATGGCTTTATAAAACTAGTATGTCTTGTGGCCCATCACGACTCAAGTTTTTATCTTGCTATAAATATCTAACATATGATTATCCTTGTTATTTCCTTAGATTTCTTGGGAATATTGAGTCATTCTTCTTTTCTTTGCTCTTTTGATAACTTGAACTAATGCATTAGCAGTCAGTACTTCATCTTCATTTTTTTCTAATAAGTCATGTATTTGTGCCCGAAAGTTGTAAATACTGATATTTACTACGACTACTACTACTGCTGCTGCTACTACTACCACTACTACTACTACTAATAATAATAATAATGGAACAAGTATGATTTTTTAATACTTCTTCCATTTGTTTTTTTTAACTTTTATTTCTGTTGCTTTTAAACTCAATAACTTCTCAACGTTCATCTCTTGATTCTTACGTAACTACCATCCTATTGACCATCCGTTAAAATTCTGTTCCTTCTTTGTTTCTTACATTACTCAACGTAGCAACTTCTTAATCACTTTGAATATTAATAATCCTCTTTCTTCCAATTAATCAATGTTAATTTAAATATCATTATGTAATTATTACGTAACGTATCTACTCGATGAGTATTATATTATTATTCTAATACGTATATATATTAGTGTAGAGCCATGATGAAAAACTAATTGAAAAGAAATTTCTTCGCTGAATTCGTTCCTTCTTTAAATATAATTTGATAGATATATTTTCATTTAGCTTGGTCTGTTTACTCCCGTTGCTTCATTTATGAAACATAAAGATGGGTCAGTTTCTCTGTGTATATCAATTTCAGTTTTCGATCCTTAATATTTATTGTCTTAACTAATCCAGTCAGTCGTTCGTAAAATTCCACCTCTATTTGGTAATCAAGTCATTCAAATTTTTCTCATTCATTTAACAAAACAAAGCTACTAAATTTAAAATACTTTTTTTGTTTGTTGAAAGCACCACTCATCTTTTCACATATTGAAATTCAATTCCATATCTTCTAAAGTAGAGTTAGTGGTTTTTCTACTTAGTTGTACAGACTTTACAGTGAATTACAATACCTAATTATCTAATCAGCTTAAGCAGGAGTTATATTACTTATTTTTGTTATCAAGATATCAATTTGTGAAGATTATTCAATTTTAAATGAACAATCATCATTGGTAGGATGATAAATCAAAGAGCACTAAAACAGTTGTTTCATTCTGACCTGAGATACTTTAGCAGTGAGCAGCAATGACTCACGCGAAGCTAATCGGAAAAGTTTGATGTCTCCCTGCGATTACGATGCTCTTCGACTACTGGCCTGATCTCTTATTGTATAACCTGGTATTTTCAAACCCCATCCATCCTTTACTACCAGATGATTTCATTTTGAATTCAAAAACCATAACTCATCAGTCTTATTTACTCTGGTTGTTATCAACAACCTATTATTCTAAAAAGCATAGCCTATAGAGAATATTACTTTGAACAAAAACTAATTTTCAAAAATCTAGCTTCAAAATGCTAAAATAACGTAGCAACAAATTTTCGATTATTCATAGATTGTAAGAGTTTCCGTGTAATTACTATATTCTCCCACTCTTCAGAATATATCACGATTTTTAGGAACAGTTTGCGATATATTTGTATATAAAAGTAATATAAATTTGGCTAAGTCTTATTTTATAATAATCTTATCACTAATAATTTACTCTTGTTATTGGTGCATTTATAGGAAATATTATCGATACGTTCCACGGTCTGTTATCCGATTAACCTCAACAATTGTTCTTCACATTTAACCAAGTTTCCTTGCTAGAATACGACTTGAAGTGATATAGTGACAGTTGAAAATAGTTGTGGATGGACTTTTTTCTAATGATTGTCTTGTTGAAAATATTCCTCTACATAAAAATACAATGTAAAAGAATAGATGTATGCACTCTTATCCTCGCTGTTTTCCTAGTCCGGGATGAAGATAACGAATTCTATTTTTATTCTTCTCTCTTCACACAAATAACACATTTATGTATGATTTGTGTAATTTTATTTTGTTCCCTACAGAGAGAAGAAATTTTGAGTTTAAACAATTCATCTCAGATATTCCACTCACTTTCTAATGCACCAGGGTCAGTGACTGACGTAAATGAATTAATCAAGGTAAGTATATTCATATAATACCTTCCTGCCAGTAGTTAATATTTTATGGATGTATTCTTGTTACCATTTAGCTTATATAACTCCTACTGCCTAAAAGTATAAACATTAGTTCCTCATTAAAGTGGACTTTTTTCATGTTTTTGTAATTTTAAACAATTCCATCAACAAAATACATCCAGATGTTTCTTAATCTTCATGTTTTAGACTAAGAAGTACTAGATTTCATTGGCAGTCCAATCATTAGTGATGTATAAATAATGCATTTACTAATGTGATACTTCAAACGGAAGTATATTTATCTTTCAGTTTTGAGAAAGGAAACGCGGATGGTGTTGCTAGTACTGATAGTTTTGTCCTATCAGGAAGACCGCCCGAAAGTTTTCAATTAGAGTGCCTTTTCTTGTCTTACGTTTCCTTCGTTCCATTTTGGTTGGTTGCCAGGTGCAAAGTCAAGGATACAAACGAGGGTGGGGTTTGTCCTCACCCGATGCTTGACGTAACTTATCTTGTTAAGTATTACCCACTACCATTACGTGGTTGCTGTCGTTCTACTGGTTGAAAGTTATTTGTTGATAAACATTTGCTCCTATTTATCTATCTTGTGAATCTGTTTCGTGCAATTTTACTTTAAAAAGTTTTGTTTGTTAAAAGCTTTGTACTTCGTGTTTCTCTTAATTGTTCTTTTATTAAGAAAGAAATTCCCGACCGTTGTTGCTACCCTGACGTGGTGGTCGGGATTGCCTATCGTGATGAAGCAACCAAGCTATCCTGACTGGAACAACCGTTCCTCAAGGTCATACCATGTCAGACAGGTTGGTTGAAGAGCAGTAAGGCTAAAAGCAACCAACCCAAAGTCCGAAGGCGAAGTCGTACTGCCGACTGTACAAAGGTGTGGCAGCAGTAGGGTGTTTCCATCATGACAGCGATGCTGCCTTCCCACAAGGAGGGGTAGGGTTAGAAAAGGTCGACCCTAGAAATGCACACCTTGCCTTGTCTCGCGGATATCCGTCTCCGGCAGTAAGGTCTCAACGAGTACGGAGCCAACACAAAAATTACTCATAAAAAGGACGTGTGTGACCGACCTCAAGCATTTGCTCCTTGAGCACTGCGGTCACGCTCTCAGGTCACTAAGATCACCTCTAATCCAATTTCCTTTTCAGGTACCCCTAGAAGAACCCTTCCACGGTGTGGGCAACCTGTAAGTGATAACCGCCCTCATACCTCTAACAGCATTCAAGACCACTATTCATAATCAACCTCCCTCTTCAATTCCTATTATCCCTCCTACATCGACTTTCAAGCCTAAGCTTCCTCTTTCGGCTTCCTCCTCAAGTGTCACCATAGCCATACTAGTGCGCAAAACACTGTCTCAGGTCTACTGAAACCTCGCTCCAAACTACACATTGGAGCCTTCAACGTTCGCACCCTATGTCAAATCGGCCAACAGGCTTCCTTGACTAAAACCCTAGAATCTCGTGCCATTAATGTATGCTGTCTCGGAGACACGCACACAGAATCCTAGTGTGGTCATTCACTTGACCTCACCTCAGCAAAATGGAGAGCTGACGAGATACACCCTCCGTGTATCTGGTGACCCGATAACCAGTTCTCGTGGACTGGCAGGTGTAGGCATAGCACTAAGCATGAGGGCGGAACAAGCACTGTTAGAGTGGATCCCCGTTAACAGTCGTTTATGTACTGCTCGGCTAAAAGGCTCCGTAAGAACTCGGAAGGATAGAGACACACGTCGTTGTCTCTTTGTCGTTTCTGCCTACGCTTCCACTGACTGCAGCTCGGATGAAGTGAAGGGTGAATTTTACAAAAAGCTCTCTGAACTTCTTCAGAAGGTTAAACATTCAGACATAGTACTCGTAGGTGGTGACTTTAATGCCCAGATAGGTAGTTTAAACCAAACAGTAGGGCATTTAGGTTGGTATTTTAGTATTCCGGCACAGCGAACAGATAATGGTGATCATCTGCTGCAACTGTGCTCAGACAATCGTTTATTTTTAGCAAACACAAATTTAAAGCATAAGGAGATACATCGTCTAACATGGCGACTTCCTACACCAAACCAACGATGGACTCAAATAGACCATATTGCTATCATTCATCGTTGGAGAGGGTCGGTAGAAGATTGTCGCTCATTCTGGAGTACCTGCTTGGACTCCGACCATGCCCTAATACGAGCACGCATCTGCTTGCGCCTCACTGGATGCTAAAAAGACCCATTAGAACTGAATTGAGTAGCAAGAAAACCAAAAGTAGGTTCCAGGAACAACTGAGGTTACACTTAGGTAGTTCTGAAAACGAGGCTTACCCAGATGTTGCTTGGAAAGATATACAAGCAGCTGTGGAAACAGCAGTGACCTCTGTTAATGATTTAAACCACAAGGTTACAAAGAACCAATGGATTTCTTCAAGGTCTACTGCACTGATGGATTCTCGTAAACTCATCCCATCAGGCTCTGAACACGATGAAGAGCGACAACAAATCAGATCTAGGTTAAACAAAAGTCTAAGGAACGACCGTGAGCAGTGGTGGGCAACGAAAGCAAAAGAGATGGAAAGGGCGGCGGTTATAGGGAACACAAGACAGCTCTACAGACTAATAAAAGAAACTGAAATTAATAAGTCAAGTGTAAGTCAGACTATTTCGGAGAAAGACGACACCCTCATCTGCTCTCAGTCCAGACGTTTAGAACTATGGGCGGAACATTTCAGAGAACAGTTCAGCTAACCTTCAGCTACTCTACAACTACCCTCCATTCCCAGACAGTGAATGGAACATTGGAGTAGGTCCTCCAACTCTAGCAGAAGTTCAAAAGGCTATAGTTAATCTGAAACGAGGAAGGGCAGCTGGTCCAGATGGATTGGCTCCAGAGGTCTTTAGGGATGGTGGTCCAATTTTAGCGATTAGGTTGACTAATATTTTAGCTAAAATCTGGGAGTTGGACGTAATCCCATCTGACTGGTCACAATCACTGATCGTCCCAATATATAAGAGAGGGTTAAAATCATCCTGTGACAACCGTAGAGGGATTAGTTTAACTAATATAGTATCTAAAATACTAGCCTCGATAAATATCGGACGCCTAACTAAGACTCGTGAACTGAAAACACGAGAGAATCAAGCTGGCTTCAGACCTGGTCGTGGCTGCATCGACCACATATTCACCATTCGTCCGACAATGGTGGTCTTTCTTGACTTAAAAGCAGTATTTGACTATGGAGACCGATAAGTTCTGTGTCAGTGTCTGTCATTGGAAGGTGTACCTCAGAAGTGCATAAACCTTGTAAAAGCTCTTTACTCGAACACTACCAGTCGAGTCAGACCTAATGGTGAACTGTCATGCGATATTGCAACCTCAAGTGGTGTCCGACAAGACTGCCTGTTATCTCCATTTTTTGCCCAACTTCACCAGACATACTGCTGGAAATAACGCTCTCGTATTCTAGACTTTAAGGAATTGATTTCGTTCCAGGAGGTTTACTTAAGATACGCAGATAACAATCCTGTTTGTTGAAGACGCTGATAAAATGTAGAGACGTTTAGTAACAATGAGCAACAATGTCAGGATGTTAGGGATGTGCTTCTCTACCTCAAAATGAATGTTGTTGCTTCAGGATTGGCCTGCGTCAACACCTGAACTAAAGATAGGGAGTGAAGTAGTCGAACACCTTGACAACTTCACTTATCTTGGAAGTCTGATCAGCCCTAATGGGTTGGTGTCTGACGAAATCTCAGCACAGATTCGAAAAACTCGTTTGGCTTTTATCAACTTACGTCACCTGTGGCGAAAACGAGATATCCGTCTATCAATGAAAGGACGAGTATACTGCGCGGCAGTTCGTTCTGTTCTACTTTGCGGCTGCGAAACGTGACCATTCAGAGTAGAAGATACTCGTAAGCTACTAGTATTTGATCACAAATATCCTAGAAATATTGCTCACATCTGCTGGGATAACTGGGTAAGTAATAGTGAGGTTAGACGCAGGGTATTAGGGAATGATGGCAAATTAGTTCATGACGTAAATCTTCATCGACTGAGATGGTTGGGCCACGTGTTGCTTATACCTGAACACCGATTACCACGACGTGAAATGCTAACCGATGTTCGAGATGGTTGGAAGAAAGTTAGGGGTGGCCAAACCAAAACGTGGCATCAGTGCTTGAAGACACTAACTTATGGTCTGAGCCTTGTTGGTAGATGCAGACTACTTGGTTGGGGTCCGCGTGACTATTGTAGCCAATGGTTGGAGGCTCTGTGTGACATGGCTCATAATCGATCACAAAGGTGTAGGTGTATACACTCTCTGTCTTCCCTTAAATTAAGAGTTTAAAATCGCTTCATATCTTTCTTTCTACCAACTAACTCTTTCTTCCTGTACTATATCCTTATATGCAATTTTTCTTTGATATATTACCACCATTGAATTAACTACTTCTATGAATCCGGTGTTCATCTTGCTGTGCTAATGTGGTGTGGTAACTTGGACCGTTGCATATATGTGTCTGGTCCGACGTTGTAGCTGACTGACTGAAGAAAGAAATTATATTTATTTCTTCCTCTACGACAATATAGTCATTCTAGTTGGATTTTTGGAATTCGGTTAAACTCGATGCGTCATAGTAAAAAAGAAGTTCATCTTTTTTTTACATCTTATCATTTGACACTCCACTGTATATTAACTGGAGCTGGCGATCATCATTAATTGTATTTTTTTACTTGAACTTTCATTTAACTGACCTTTATTATTTTTCGAAAAAGAATGCCCTGTCAAGTATATGCGTGACCAGATTTTTCGAAATGTATGGTGCAAATACATAACATTTTTCAGATCAACTCCGTCTTCTAAGTGCTCTATCGGAATTTATAAAAGGGACTAATTGCTTTAAATTGTATTTGAATCAAATTATCTCGATTTCCAGAATGGCTGGAATGTCTTTAGATGTTTCAAACAAACCGAAAATACACATTTACTGAGGTACTGGAATGTGCGATAAGTACTATCTAACTACAAGTTAGTCATCTAATTGTAGAAATAGGATCCTAAGTGTGAAGTATTCAGTACCTTGTAACCAACCTAAAACTCTGATGAGTAACAGAGAATATACGGTATGCTTATAGTGCTAAGTCATGATGTTGCTCATTACAACTGCAATCAAAGTTATGATAAATAACTCACACGATACATCTTTATATCATCATGATACTGTATCACTTTCTAAGTAGAAATATTTTCATGCCCTCCTAACTTCTCTGGTTTTGATGTATAATATATAGCAGCTTATAATATACTTTTAGAGTAAATTAGTCTCAAAACAAAACAATTGCTTATACTCTTCTAATAAAGCTCACTAGAAAATTTTACATCAAGAAACAAATTCCTAATACTTTTTCGTAGCCACATCAGTCATTCAATCTAGAACCTGGTCAAGTATCACGGTTTTGCATTCCTCATCTATATAAGCAAGTCCGATCCGAACATCGCATTTCTTATTTGCGTGTAATTATTCGGGCATAAAAAGTGCGTACTGAATACATCTTTGTGTACTAGAATCAAAGGCATCAGAAATGACTTGAAACTAAATTTATGATGTTCCATTCTCATAGTGACTATTTTTTTTAGTTACAATACATTGCAACTACCTTAATTGTTCTGAATTTCGACTTTGCCGTTAGAATTTTTCCGTATTTAGAAAAATTATGCAGAGTTTACATTCAGTTTTCTTTTCGTTAGGCTGCCTACAGTCTAGATGATGAACATTTGGAACCATCAAATATCAGTAGTCTTAGACGTCACTATTTAGCTCAACTTATGGTTGATGAAGGCGCTGTTCTGAAACCAGATTCTCGTCCTAATTTACCTAAACAAGTGAGCAAAAGTCTCATTTATTTCATTTGTTTCTTATGCTCAGTACATTTTTCTTTCTGTTTGATTAAAGCGAATTCCAGTCTCTTGTTTCAATCGCACTTGCTTAGCATTCTTACCTTGCTGTTTTCTGGATTATCGTTTGAAGGAAGAGCGATACAGTATTATGCTGAATACGTTTATCAATAAACAAAAGTGCTGTGTTAAGTTTGAAGGTGAAGTGTCCGCTTACTCTGATAAACCTTACAAAATAACTTGAAGTGAATATATCCACCTTGACAGACTTTCGTCTGTCTTAAACAAGTTATCATCAAAAACGAATTGTATTTCGACATTCTAATTCCTTTTTTACCACAAACATGAAGAATTAATCAGGCACCACTACGTCGGGTTACAAGTCATGAATTTGAAGTTACTTTTCATAATGATCTCAGATATCTCATTCTTTTCAATTTTGTCTTTTCTGTAGCTCAGTAATTTTTTTGCCATTTCATATACGCTATCTGTGATGTGCGCTAAGATTGTTTATCCATGTATCAGCAATAAACTTTATAAACATTAGATTCATCAGATCATAAAACGTTAAAATTTTGAAAAATCACATTAAATATAAATGGAAGTTAATTGTAGAGAATAAATCTAATAGGAATTTTTCGTTTTATGTACTATCGGTTCTAGTTTACGCCTTGTAGACAGATATATATATACTGATTGTTACGTCATCAAACCCGGTATTGTTATTGTGTGTTATTAATATCTGCATAGGCGTTAACAAACTAAAGTAATATCTGCTTGTTTACTCCACTGATCAATCTTTATATAGTGCAACAAAATTTCTAAAGTATTCCCTTTCTCAACTCTTTGTAGTTGAAACTATTCAAAAAATAGTCTCTTGTACTATGTAATCGCGTATGTTGCTAAACCGTATTTAAGCTTTGTTACATTTATAAGCAGAGATGGTTGGTGGCTAGTTGTGGAATCCAGAACGAAAGTTATTAGGTTGTGAAGCGAAGTAGTTCAAGTATTCAAACTTAAGTTACTCTATCATATTCTTATGTCATTGGGTTACACATATCCAATATTCTAACCAGTGCTTGGTTATTGAGTTACCCAGAATGAAGGAAAAGTTTTAAATCCATCGATTCATTCATTAGCTACGTCGTCATAATACTGTAACTCTTGCATATCCATTTCTAGATAGACAACCGTTTATAACTCGAGCACTGTAGGTCATCAATTATGTGATGTGTAGCATAAGTATGGCAACAAGGACATGGCCATCTAACTACTAAATTTGATCGGCAATGTGACAACGTCATAATCTGATTTATCTGATAAATATTCTTTTTCGCACTCGATTTTGTTGACCTTATAAGTCACAGTTTTTCATTAGAATCTCAGGTAAATCATCTTGAATTAACGGGTCAGTGAACAAATAATGATTATTTCTAAAGTTTGTCAAGTAATAATTATATTGTTTCATGAATTGGTGAGCTAAAAGAATTTAGGACAGTTTTTTGTCGATAGATAATTCTGGAATATTATGGTACTATCCTTCTGTCGATGATCAGGTGACCACTCAGCCCTCTGTTTATCAAATTTATTCTAGCAAAGTCATTATTTCACAGGAATACAGCTTCGTCATTCCTAGCTCAGTTACTTTCACGAATAGCAAAAATATTACATGTGAATTTGATATATCTTAACAATGTATATATTCACCATCACATGAGTGAATGATAAAGAATGCATACAGTTGAGCTTCAGGTGTAACCTATTTGTGTAGAATATAAACTACGTTTAATTATGTTTAGTTTTCCTTCATTCTAAATAACTTATTCGGAGGTATTTACAAACTTAAATTCCGATAGCTAATAAACTAATAATTACTGTTAATGACATTGCTGTTTACTGGCGAATGTATGAGCGATATACAAAGTCCCTTTTGAGTAACTCATTTAATTTGATAATCTTCAGGTTTCGTATAATGCCCGACTAATCTTAAAAATTATTTTTTCATTACGCGTATTACCACTCGTGGAGCATAGGCCTTCCACCAACTCCATCCCGGAATAACTTTTCTGGTTGTTCCCAGTGGTTATTCATTCTTTTGATGTCTGCTTCCCATTCCCAGCGGATTGTGTTATATGTTCTTTCTCTATTCCGTTTCCCTTGCTTACGCCAGTTGCCCCTCGTGTAGCACAGGACTCTTCTCTTTTCCCCTTCAGGATTCCAAGTTTGGGCTTGCTTCGTGATTCAGTTTGGTGATTTCTGAAATGTGAGTCCTATCCACCCCCAGTGTCTTCGTAGTTTCCTCTTCAGCTGGAAGTTAGTATGTTCTCTACCGCAGTAGGTTATTGTTGTTGTTGATGATGATCATGATCATGATTGTATTAGTTCTCCAAGTTTCAGCTCCGCAAAATAGGATTGTTCTGACATATGTATTGAAAATTCTGACCTTGGTGTTGGTTGACAGTGGTTTTGAGTTCCATCTGTTCTTCAACTGAGAGAATTCCGCCATTGTTTTGCAAACCAGTGCCTTTACATCTAAATCAGATCCTCCTTGTACACCAATGATGCTGTCCAGGTACGTGAAAGCTTCCACTCGTTTCAGAGTTTATCCATCAATTGTGATTAGGTTGGTGCTCACTGTGTTATATTTTAGGATGTTGTATCCCCCCTTGTACATGTTGAGGCCTACTGCTGCAGAGGATGCTGTCACATTGTCTGTCTTCACTTGCATTTGTTGGTGTGTATGGGATAGAGGAACCAGGTTATTTACGAAATCCTAATTGTTTAGCTTCATCCAAGGTGTTCACTGTATTCCGTGCTTTCCCTCAGATGTGGCGATCATCAGTATTCAGCTAATTACCAGAAGAAAGAGGAAAGGTGAAGGTGAGTAGCCTTGTCTGACATCAGTCTTCACTTTCAATATATTTGGGAGCAAGCCCCGATGCACGACTTCGCAGTGTAGTCTGTCTCATGAATTCCGTGTGATATTGACGATCTTCGCAGGTACATTATAATGTCGAAGATGGTTCCATAAGTTTCGCCTATCCACTCTGTTAAATACTTGATCGCAGTCGAGGAAGTTGATGTATAGCGATGAGTTCCATTCAATTGATTGCTCAACGATGATCCATAGTGTCACAACTTGGTCTGTGAACGACCGATCCTTATGGAATCCATCTCGTTGATTTCAAAGTTGGGCATCCACGGAGTCTTTCATTCGGCTCATCAACACTGTGGCAAACCTTTCCTGGTACTGATAGTAGTGTGATGCCTGAGTATTCCTCACACTTGCAGAGATCTCCTTTCTTTGATATCTTGATGACGTATCCTTTTTTCCAGTATGTTGGCACTTGTCTTTCTTCCCAAATCCTTCTGAATAGAATATGTAGCATCGCAGTTACTTCTCTCTGATTTCAGTGCTTCAGATGGTATGTTGTCTGACCCTGCTGTTTCCTCACTCTTAGCTTGTCTTACGGCCACACTAATTTCTTCCAATGTTGGTAAGTTAATAACTTTGGGGAGGTGTGTACGTGTTGTTTTGATGTCCAGTGGGTTCAGTGGAGCTGACCTATTCAAGAGTTCCAAAAAGTGTTCTATCCATCTGTTCCTCTACTCTTAAATCTCAGTGATTCGCTTACCTTCGTCCTTGACTGGTCTCTTTGGTTTACCATATTTCCTGTCAGTTTATTCGTTATATCATATAACTGTCTCATATTTCCTTCCATTACAACTTTTTCCACTGTCGATGCTAGATCTTCTACGTATTTCTGCTTGTCAGCTCTAATGCTTCTCTTCACATGCTTGTTTGCTTTTGTGTATTCAGCTTGTGCCTTGACTTTCTCTGCTCTTATCCGACTGTTGTTAATTGATATCTTCTTGTTCTTCCTTTCTTGAATCTTGTCCAGGGTTTCGATAGAGATCCGTTCCTTATCATGTTGCTTGTTGCGGCTCAGCACCTTCTGACACGTTGAAGTTATTACCTTTTTGATCTCATTCTAGTTGTCCTCTATCTTAGTTCCTTCTTTGAGTAGTTCTTGAAGGTTTGGAACCTGTTGTTGAGAATTATCTTGAATTCGTTGAGTTTGCCTGTATATCGAAGGAATGCTGTAATGAACCTTTGTTATGATATTTCTTCAGTTGTACAATGTTTCTCCGGCTTTAGTTTCATCTTGACCATCACCGGGTGATGATCGGAAGCTGTGTCATCTTTATTTGTTCTTCCATCTTCCATCGGGCCTCTTAACTTTTTATTGATGCATGTGTGATCGATCTTGCTCTCTGTAGTATGGTCTGATGAAACCCAAACGGCTTTCTGTATGCATTTCTGGGAAATATTGCACCACATATAACCACTTTGCTGATTGCAAATCTCTCACCATTCACTTTGCTTTCTCCCATAGTTAATGATAGTTAAATTATCGTAACTGTGTTTGGTTGTCAAACACTACTTGTACTTGCATTTGTTATTATTTAGAATAAATTTAATGTAAATAACCTCTTTTCTATATTGTTCATTGTAATTCCTAATTCTCTCGCTTAGTAATTCAGTATTTTCCTTCTCATCTATTTATTTTTTACCTTCAGTATCTAGCTAAACGACAATTTCAACGACCCAAATCTTTATTCACTACATTATTTGCATCTGTAGCGTCAAATGGACAACCATATCGTCGAATTACTGGCATGGCTGTACCATTTCAATATTCTATTGGTAATAATGATTTGTCACCGCCGTCATCATCTATACATTATAAGCCTGCATATGTAAGTGTAAGCTTACATGAAGGCAGCGTTGAAGCGGACGACCCAAAATTGAAGAATGTGCACCAAACGGAAATACTTGTAGAATTAAAACAATCAATTCAGTTGGTATGTCAACTAATATTCTTTATATCGTTCTTATTATTTATCATATTTTTTAACGTACGTATACTGCTTGTAACATCTTTAATTATCAGTGTTTCATCTGTTTGTGTACAATGTCATAGTGAATTGCTTTTAGATGCCAGTAGTATGATTCCGTTTTTTTATAGTTTACTTACCTTACAGTTTAGTGTAGACAGATACATGACTGGTGAGTTACATTCATTCAGTTAGGTTCCTTGTACTTCTCACGGTAGATACTTTACATCATTGTGCCTATGTCAAGACTTAATGCAGTCTAATTGTTCATGTATTACATTACCAAATGCCGTGGTACGGCCGAGAGTGGGGAGAGTCCGCTCTCCCTCTCGAAATGCTCTCACATGGCCACGCGTATATAGCTTCCACCAGGGAAGTCGTATTCACAGCCTTCTCGTGGTGAGGGTGTTATCTACGAAAATGAGAGGACGAAAAGCGAATGTCCGGCGCTTTAACCAGATTCCAAACCAATGGTGCGCATGGGCTCCAGTATCCTGAGGGAACAAATGGCGTATGAACCAATCGTTGGTCACCGGCTACCATGGGACTGCATCTCCCCACGATGCCCCACTGCCTTGTGGGTCAGACCTTTAGATCAAAGGCTCGGGGTGTGGCCCCCTAAGAAAACCACCTGCTTCGCTTTGGGCACCCTGGCAGTATCATAGCCCTCACATATATCAAATGAGATTTATGTGGCGCATATGTATTTGGTGCCTCATTGTACCAATATCTGTGTTAAAATAAATAATAAATAAGTGCACCGCCACACTTATCTCGAAAATCGTTGTTTAGCTGTCAGTGACATTCTGGAAATAATTCCGAAGGAAGTACGTGAGGGTTTTTTTTGCCTGGTGAAAGTCTTTTCAACTTGTAGTACCTGAATGACATCCGAATCGCATCTAATTAATTGGTAACGTCCGTAAATATGGGATATACTTTTTACCCTTAAAATCCAGTGTACTATTGCGAGGCTAACGAAATCACTTAAAAATAGTCAAGAAGTTTTGTCTTATTAGTTGTGTGAGTGGTAATGATAGAAAAGGAGATTATATCAATGTGTGTATAGTGAAAGTCAAAACGTTATATGTCAGTCTGAGCTGAGTTAAATCAGTGGTATACTGATTTCGGTGACCTAGTCATATTTTATGAGTACCATTTCTGTAGCTTTCTACATCGAGCTTTATTTCCCGACACTTGGACTAAACAAAAAAAGCTGAAAGGGAGTCGTTTTATAACATGTGACCATAAAATAAAAGATTGCTCTATAGAACGGGCTTCTGTTGGTCCATCATGACTCCATGGTTGAATTCTTAGTGATCGTGGCCTGGGTTATTATCATCCGTAGCTCAAAATAGAAGTAAGTTTTCTACCACACTTAATAAAAGTAAGATGATCCTTCATAAATGAAGGAGTTCTACATTTTCATATTTATAATGGAACTTTTCTCTATATTTACTATTTTCTCTATCTAGTTAGTGACCATATGACTTTCCTTCCTACTAACTGTGCACAATACTATCATTCTATTTTGTATTGCTCATTCTTTTTATGCCTTATTATGACAAATATTTCTTATGTTACAAATAAATAAAGCTAGGTTTCGAAATAAAAAGTGGTCACCGCCTAATCGTGTCACTCGTCTCTCACTGTCAATTTCATCGTGTTGTTTTATATTTTAGATTGTGCGTCACTTCCGTATAAATGATCCTGAACAACACGGTGACGCTACCGCACATGCAGATTATTCAATGGAAAGTCACAAATTAGACCTCGATTCTTATGTACAAGTAAATTTTAGCTACTTATAATTTTGTTTGGTTCTTCTACGTTTGTTATTTACTAACTGAAATTTATCAACCATCTGGCAAGAGAAACATTCAAGTGCTAACTCTTTGCATTTATATTTTTCTATCGCTGTAGATGAGATCTCATCGGTCTTCAGTACTTAGAGACCTCATGACGGTTTATATAAATCTCGTATAAGTCGTTCACTTGATGAAACCTATCATTAATGGATAAACTCTAAGAATCATTAAGCACTACATATGTTTCCATTTTGTTTGGGACTACTCATTTGAACTTTTCACTTAATTCTTTCGATGTCTCAAAACCAACATTTGTTTCCTGCTAACCAATAGGAAATTCAGGACATTATCCGACTACATTTGCATCGTATATTAAGTTTCTTTTTCGCCGACACACTTTCTCGTTTAATTATAACCGTGAAATTATTCGTTTTTGTCTTTCTCTTTCAAACTGTTTGTGAATCTAGACATGTATAAAAAAGCATTTCTTATCCAAATTATGGCAGAAAAGAAAACGAACATACGTCAGTGTTCATATTCAAATATAAAAATCGAATTGTCATGATCATTTATTCAGTGATCTCAAGATCACTGTATCTGAAGTCCTTTTCGGGATTTTTAATATCGTAAATGTAGCTATTCAAAGACACTGCTGTCACGTATTAAACCACTGATGTTATGGTAGAGCTATGCGTCTGTACGACAATTCATTGATTTCAGGGTATTACGTAGTTGTTACCATGACGTATTTCGTTCCAGCACTGGCTCAGGACTTTCGAACGGTTAACTTCTGTAACCAAACCACTATAATCCATTGAGGATTTTTGACGACATTTCAGAGTCTGGTAACTTGATTATTTAAAAAGATTAATTCAGTAACTTCGTTCGTACTATAGGTTTTGAACATACAAACTTCTGCTCCAATCAACTGTCGCCACTATAAGAAATGATTTCTGCACTCAACTGTTTACATCATTTCGATCAATTATAGATAATCTACCAACTACTCAATAAAAATAAGTATTTTATATTTATGTCCTACGTCATTAGATCACAAAACAATTTTTTAAAAATCATTAATTATTGCCTTATTTTTTGTCAACACATTTCTATTATGTCATGTAGAAAAATGATCTAAAAATTGTTTCATTTACAATATTGTCTCATTTACTCAGTATTTGTGTCCTATATTGTATATTATATATATGCATAGTAAGTCTGAAAAGTATGAATTGTTCAGGAAATATCAGAAGCAGACAAATATTTTATTCTGTTTCGTTGTTGCAACAGATAATTTAGAACAGAATTTCGCTTCTAATTATTAAATCATTGTTCTACAAGCCGTTTTCATTAGTCAATGGTTTCGGGCTACATTGTAATGTTTCGTTTCGTCTGAGATTCGATTGACTGTCACCATCCATTCAATAGAAGATAGATGTTTGTGTACAGACATCAGAATGTAATAAAACACTTACAGTAATCAAAACAACTACCAACACTTTTTTATAATTTCTTAAACATACCATTTGTTTAAAAATCAGATCGTGCAACATCGTAGACGACGTGCCAAAGCATTGATCGATTTTGAACGCTTTGAAGTAGATGAACTGGAATTTCATAAAAATGATATCCTAACCATTATTAACTCAGATGACGAACATTGTTGGATCGGTGAACTAAACGGTCAACGAGGTTGGTTTCCTGCCAAGTTTGTTGAATTGTTAGATGAACGTGGAAAAAATTATTCTCCAGCTGGTGATGATGGTGTAGACAGATTAATTATTGGCCTTGTTCGCGGAAGGTAATTTTATAACCATTATATATCTTAATCACAATTCTTATATTTTTATAACCACACCTTTTAAAAGATTTGCTAGTTACATTGATCAAAGTTCAAAGATGATAAAATGCATGTACTTATATTTAACTAGAATGACTAAACTTTTCAACATTTTTGTTCTGATAGGCTTATGTGTTTACCCATTGAGTTGCCAATTATGTCCTAGTCATAGCATTCTTGAATTGTACATGTGTTTACCATCTTATCTGGTTATTAATAATACAAGTGAATTTAGGTTATTGGGTTTTTTTGCAGAATAAATCTCTACACAGATAAGTTAAAGTGAATAGAATGTGATTGGAAAATATTCATTTTGTTCTACCCACTTTTTAACGTAGTGGGATTAGGTATTGCTTCTCTAGAGTTTTTTTGGGACGAAATTAAGGTCATCAATTATTTGTTTTTATTGAGATAATGAATAGAGTAATTCTTTTTTTCTCCCTTCAGAATAAAAAATAAAATTTAGAAATAAGTTCACCATCTACTATAGGTTTTATTATAGTACTTGTTATTATTACTCCATTCTTAATTTCTCTCTATTCTCTTCTTTCCAAACTCTCTTGAATAATCTTTATTATTTCACTTACACCCATACTAATGTACAATTAGCAAAAGAATTTACAACTTAGTAAGTTAAATACACGACTTTGGAACATAAAGTCACACTCATTAACCAGCTATTGAGTACATCTAGTGAATCCACGAAAAATTCTCAACTACTAATCAAAATACTAATAAAGCCAACCACTTATCTCCTACTATCTTTTGCTACCCAGAAAATAATTTGACACATTTTACATTTCCGTTTATACTCTGTATTATCATTGATTAATTGGATCAGAGTAGTTTTGGCCCATAAATCAAATCACTGGTACGTTCAAGGCATCTTATTATTTCAAAAGTAAAAGTTGATAGATTTTTAAGACTAAACGTAATCGTGTTTGCTCACTAAATTAAATTACATAACATGTCCACATACACATTGCTAACTCTGACGTTTCACGTTTTTTTCGCAATCTAATCCCATCTAAAGTTTCTTGGAATATGTCACTCAAATATGATTGATTTTTATCTAATTGAAAGGCTATGTATAAGATTTGTGTAATAACATTCTATCTTCCTTTACATCCTCCTAAGCATTCCGCCATTTTATACATCGCCTTGAGTAATAATTCGTTTCTCCCCCTCTAAATCCTAAATATTGCCCCAGAACTTGTCTGTCTGAGGTAACGAGTGTATTACATATACATATCGAAAATTCATTCTCGTATTCGACTTATTTTGTACCTTTATTTTTTAACGCTAATCAAGTCGATAATTATATACGAGGGTAGCCGGCATTCATGTTTCGTTAACATCATACGATCAAATCGGAGTTATATCAACGGGCCACTCAAATCTAATCAACTTTGGTTAACGTCTGATAAAATCTCGACACAAATTCGTAAAACCTGGTTTTCTTTTTCTTACTTGCGTCGCTTGTTTTTCCTTTAGTTTTTGCCATTCACTTGGAGCTGTATTTTCACATGGATTGAAGCGACCACGTCTACTCGGTGATACTGGTTGTCATCCATGGCATTTTATTGAAGAAGCTGCGGCTAAAGAAGTAGAAAGAGATTTCTCTTCTGTTTACTCACGTTTAGTATTATGTAAAACCTTCCGATTGGACGAAGAAGGCAAAGTCCTCAGTCCGGAAGAAGTGTTATATAGAGTGAGTTGTCATGCTTGTATTTACACATTATTAATCTTTTTTCTGTAGTCTTTCAACTATCGTTTAGCTTTGTTGTTAGACATGTAAACGATAATCAAAATCGACAAAAAAGTAAACTAATCATAGATATTCACATTTCAGTATAAGTGTATGCTTCCGTATTATCAGCTTTGCTCACCATTAATCTAATTTTAATTTCACTGATTACAGCAATTTTTGTTTACAGTTATGTCATGGAAATTCCAATTGTCAACATCATTTGAATCTTGTGGAGACGTCATTAGTCAATATTGTCCTAGTAGACGTATAAGTGGTATCCCCTTTTAGGATTTGTTGAATTTATTTCGATCATTGTGTAATTATCTTTGTTTCCTGCTTCCTCATTCTGTATAACTAATCACATATTGGCCTATTTGATTTAAGCCACTAATGACATTTTTACGAAATAATTACAAACATATTTTATAGTCTAATGTTATTTTTCAGAATAATAACTGATTAAAATCCCATCTTAGGCATTTTTCTACCTTCCCCCATCCATATTTTTTTCAAGAGTATTACGTGACATTGTTAATTATTTACGTCATTTGACTCCAGAAACACGGATTATTTAAGGGTTTATTGTTATTATTATAACCATTACTATTATTATTTATTGCTTTTATTATTTGCAATGTATACAACCATAAGCTACATAACTTCATTTTCATACCAAACAACGTAGTTTGTCGCTATATTTAGCTCAACCTGTTTTTTTTCTGTTTCTATTTTGACTATCGGAATCACATGCGCTTTCCCGAAAACGCCTACTCACCGCGTCCAATCCGCCTACGAATGCTTATATACTGTCTATACACAAAAACATACACGCTTGTACAGACAATACATAGTATAAACATGTCACACGATTTAGCTAATGCTCATATGGATATCAAATTTCGTTCCTTGATCTGCTCAGGTTTAAAGTGAGTAGTTTCCCTAGCTTTTGCTTTTTCGATTCTGTCTTTACATGTAAAATTGATAGTTTTATCTGCTTTCTATTGACTGAATGCGGAAAAAATTTCTACGTATAAAGACTAAAAATGAAAATAATATTGCTTAATAATTAATAATCCGCCCTTTGGCAGTCTTTCAGTATTTGAATCCACTTTTAACATTCACTTCTGTATATTTATAGACAGAGGAAAACACTAGTTGTAAACTCAAGTTCCCATAACTGTTTGATTCCTTGTTTTAGCTTCAGTACAGTCGCTTATTCTGATTTGGCTAATTAAATGTTAGTTTTTATTGTGAATCATTAAAAATCATGGGATACTGGATCTCGTACCAGTTTGTATGTTACATCCAATAAATGTGAAGCGTTTGATTCCAGCTTAATATTGCTTGCTTAAACATGATACCCCTTTTGGGCACAAATAACCTACTAGCGAATTCCAAGCAGTTCGGTCCTGGGCTCACTTTTCAGTTTGTTGACAAGTTCTGTTCATGCTTTTAATGCCTACTTCGAACTTACGGTGAGGTATGACGTTTGGTCTCCACACATTTATGTGATGAACTCGAACCCCTCATGTAACTGACCCTTATCACCACTTTCATCATTATTGAGTACGTAGCACTGCATAACATTGGTAAATTTTGCTTGTTTTTTTCGGAGGATGGGTTGCTGATGTTGGATGCGTGGATTTCTCATCCTATTAGTGGCTTTTGTGGTTCTGTGGAGAGAATCAGTGCCATTGCTTGTGTGTGGAGCATCTTTTCCTTGATAATGAGAAAACAACAATTTATCTTGTAGTTAGTCTTTTCTCTTCAGATAGCGTCTAACGAGTTTCACTTGTCCTAAGCATGATCTGATCAGCTTATATTTTCTCATTTCTACAGCTATTCGAATGATACTGCCGATTTGCCACATTGCTCATACACTCCATATTGTTGTGGTTGTTTATGGGAAAGTCATCTACCTCATGGTTTTTGTAGAATCCTCACTTTGATGATGGAGTATGATACCTGTTGCATATCATGACCGTTATCCCTCGAGTACATAGTCTAATTAGTTTAAATGTTTGTCTATGGTTAGCGATTTCGTAGAGGCTGGTGGCAATGCTGCTGTAACTTTCTTTTAAAAGAAAAGAAATCTTTCTTAGATGAATTTCAACTGATCTTTTCTAAAATTATTTTTCTTGTTTATTTCCCCATAGATAGTTCGCCTCTTTCTTTTTTCCTCAATTTTATTACTTCATTTGTTTAGTAAATTTTCGATGCCGTGTTATACCAAAGTGTATGCGCTATGAATGTATATCCATGTAAAAATAGCAGTCACCGTCAAATATCAGCCAACTTCAAGAAGATTTTATTAGTTTTCTCCTTTAAGCTTACGCTGTTATTCGCTTTAAAGACAATGAAAACTTCAGTAATAATTCTCTCATGTCAGATAACGTTTTGCTTTCAAAACATGATGTTTCACATTTCGGCAGATTGAATTAATGATACTCGTATAACAAACGTATTAATATGTTTCACTGAAGTATCAGCTGTACTAAATATTTTACTTGTGATTTTGAAGTTTTATGATCATGTCCAACATTCACATACTTAGCTTAATTACTTTTTCTGACAATTTTTAAGCGAACAACTATTACATCTATGGTTCGAAATTCTTTGTTCATCAGTTAAAGTAGTTAGTAAATGGTATCATCCTTGGTCATATCTTCGCAGTCCTGGTTGGGTTCAAATTAAATGTGAATTACGGTATGTGTACAGGTTAAAAACAGTTTTCATTTTTATAGAATAATAAATTGTTTCATTAGATGAAACTGAAGTATGAATTTGTACTTTGTCGTTTGTATAAACGTAAGCTTGCCAAATATTGAAGTTAAGTGAGTATTTAATGTAACAGCTAGGTGGCAGCCAGACCAGATATGATTAAAAAACGCTGAGAAAATAGAACTATATTTAAATAGAGTGACAAAACAAGTCATATTTTCCTTAGTTTATACGAAATATTTATAGGTAGAAATGATTTCACCACTAGTTCGTCGATTCGCCACAATCAAAATGAAGCAGCAACTTTGTAAAAGTTGGTAATAGAAATCTTGTTTGAGGAATTAACAAATATATATACGTTCTCTATTCCGTCTTCCGAGAATACAGCCTTTTTACTTATTATTTGTCTTCTTTATCCGTAGTTGGGTTAATCAAACGTGAAGAGTTGCATAGTGGCAAAACTTTTCCTCATACCATAAGAATATGTAACCGTTTTAGTAGGGAACAATTTCTTTACTCTTAATGTTTCTATGTGTTCATAAGGGCCAACCTTTTAGGTTATTCGCGTCATAAATGCACCGTATTAATGATGTTTTAATGAATTGGTACAACAAACAGTCAGATTCTCACTATTTGATATTATCATCTGTTCCCGTCTATTGAAAAATTCCGGAGATCTTAATCACTGAATAATATATTCATACGTATTCAGTTTTTGAGGTGTTATACATTCCATCTTTAAATTGTGTCACATCTACTCAAACACTGAATCAGTCCCAATTGATTAACCACATAAAACATAACGGGTCATATTCGCTCATTAATTTCAATGTTGTGCTTGTAGTGTACTTATTTGCTTTTCATCAGTTGTTCTATTCAGCAGCTTTCAATTTTTATAGATATTGTTTCCAATGATTATTCACATAGCACTGTCCTTTTTGTAATTTCTTAATAGTGTTCTTAGTCAATTCGCGTTTCATTTATCACCAACATACGAATTAAACAGTCTTCAAAATTTCAATCATATTCGACAAACTGGTTTTACGGCGTCTAAATTATTTGCTTTATCATCGGAGAGTTTGCCGCGTCGTACCAATAAATCCAGCTCAAAGGTAATATCTACGATGGGTAATGCATTAGACTTGCATAAAGTCAAACCTTTACAACGTTTAATGACTGCTTCATCTGTTGTCGATCCAATGAATGATCCGCCATGTCTGTCTTTATCATCAATTCTAATACCCAATGATGAGAATTTGAATGAAATAGATAGTAACATGACAACAGCTGCAACAGAGACGACCGGAGACATGCTAGTCAAGTATCATCTCTTCAGCTGGGAATTGTGACAAATGTCTTAATACCAGCCGACGTTTTCACTCCTTGTTGTTGTTTTGCTTCACGATTTCGCACCAGTACCCAGAAGTGGGTCTTGAACAAGATCAATTTTTATGTGATTCCTTTTCTAATTTTTTGCCTACCGCTGTTTATCATGCCTCTTTTATTTCTATGTGACTCGAAGTTTTATTATTTTAAACTGCGATGACTGACTATTTTTTTGTGTCTTTTGTTTAATTAGACTTCCATGATTTCCTCTCTTTAAATTATATATATTACAAGATGGCGGTCTGTCATGTCATTTTGGTGTTGGTCTTGTGATATTTGTCTGTTAGGGGGTACGTTCAATTTTTAGTCGTGTCTTACTGTAAACTGTTGTGATTGTTTGCTTGCTTTCGTTCACCTCATGGTCTTTCTTTCATATCACATGAAAAATTTGTTTCTATTCTCAGTTAACTTGGAATTAGTCTTTTTTGTCTATACATAATGAGTAGGTTTCGTTGACTTTCCAAGATCTTTGTAACGATATAAGATATGTGTTTCGTACACCAAGAATCGTATTTCATTTGTATTTATTCACATTTTCCAATTTTCATGAATTTACTCTTTTTCTAAAAACAAAGTATATAAATTATGTATTTCTTTAACTCTTTTCTCTGCCTGAATCATTCGAAATATACACGATAACTGCACTTTTGTAACGGTGTTTTGCAATACTAGTATATTTTTATAACTATTACGTACATATAAACATATATTTTGGCGGTGCATCATGTCTGACAAAATGTCGTCAACTGAATGTGATATAATAACGAATCATTTCCTTTTTTTCAAGCGAACTATTTTGTGAAATTTTCAAAGTTTATTCACATCGTGTAAACGCTTGTCTGTGTGCTATCACTACATAAATATCTGTGAATCGTTTGTTTATGATTGCAGTCTTGTGTCGTACGTGTCTTTTTGTTTCGTCTATCCACTCATTTCCTTTTTTGCTTTATTCGTATTGTTTTACTGATAATATACACATATAGGTGTTTATCCGTCTTCATTTTCATTCTTCCTCCATCCCCCTCCTCACTTTCCTAACATTTTGATCTATTTTCCAGTGTATTGTGAGTCAAACTGTGATTCAATAGGTTAAAGTTTTGTTTGTATGCATATGTTTGTTTACTGTTTGTTGAAAAAAGTAAGAAAAAACCGTTCATGTTTTTCTTGATCGTTCCAATCAAAAAATAAAGACTAATAAAATTCGAAAAATTCTCTCCATTTTTTCAATTGTGTTTTCCAGGTTACACTTTCGACTTTATGTAGAATAGATTTTTAAAGTATTCTGATCTCTTAACTGTTGCACCAGTAATTCGTCATCATATCTACCCAATTTTGATAAATACACATAAAATTGTCTACGCTTATGTAATAGCTTGCTATAAATTAACTTCAAATAATCCAGTAAACGATATAAATGCGTGTTTATTTGTATACCAATAAGTTCCTGTTGTATGACTCAGGTGAAATCAAAAATAAATTATGGGGCAATAGAAACGTCTATCAAATTACTGGTAAACATCGAGGGTATAGCTCAACTATACATGTTAATTGTAGGATCTTGATCTTACGATGTCTGTAATTCATCTCAATGTGAGCTATTGATTAATTAATAGTGAGTGCTGCGGATTTGAGTGTACTCAAAACTTACGCTTGTCACCCTTCGTGAAGGAGCATAGGCCGCCCACAAGGTTTATTCGAAAACTAGCTATTAATCAATGTACATATAATGTTGGGTCTATTTTGAATGTGAAAATTAATCTCCGTCTCAGTTATATTCTTTCTGTCTTTGGACTGTGCCGAATAAGACTGGATGGCTTGTGTTGCGGCTTGTATTTAAGTAGTAGTGTGGTGTTTGCTACTTAGGCTGACAGATATAAGTAGTGTTTAGCAGCAATCGGAAGTGGAATACCTACCAGCAGGAGATCGGAGAGCAATCGAAATAACAAGTGAATTAAAGGAATAATATAGTATATAAAAAGACAATGCAAACGATGTATTTAATGTATGATTTTCATACTTCACCAAGCCACTTTGTGATTTTACATTAAACAATAAATTGGTTTACCCCACCAAGTCTTTGATCAACAGATAATACCCGGACATCTCAGCTTTATTGGTTTGGAACACATAAAACATGTTGATTGAAGCCAGTTAGTTCTCCAAACAATAGTAAAAGTCATTGAATCTCAAACAATAGTTGATAACAGAGGAACTGAATCCTCGAAAACCAATAATCGATAACCACATTCATAGACTTAATGGTGTGGAGGAGTTCAATAAAATTTATTCTAAATTATGGTTCACAATCATAGTATGCGGTTCCGGAAGATTCTTTGAATTGAAAAGGTCCAAAGATCTGTCGCACTTTTTAGTGATAAATTATTTTACAAAATTTATGATATGGTTCATTCTTCAAACATCTTGAGGGACTTTTATCAAAAGCTGCTGTGGATTAAAATCAATAATATGCCCCCGTATATTATACTTTAATTCGAACCGTAATAACAACGTTGAACTAATTCTTTCTTACTACACTAAGGATGATACCACACATTTATGAATCTTACTAGTAAGTAAACAAAAATAACTAGCTTATCGTGATTTGATAAAAAAAAACATTACAAGATTCAGTATGGTGCATATCTCATATGGCAACCATCACAAACGAATATATGCAGAATTGATGTTTTCCTAATTTTGGTTTTCGTTGTTCTAAATAATGAAGTAGATAAATACGATAAAATTACACACAACAGAATCATGTTGATTTGGAGGCTTCACCTTCTTGGTCACAATCCAATTACGAATCGAAGAACATTCAAAATATGAAAAGGAAATCTTTGATTATTAACCGTCTCTCAGTGGTTTTTAAAATAACAATAGTTTGTCACAAAATTAATCTTTAATGTCTTTTACAGTTGTGATAAATTACCCAAATTAATATTGTATATAAATTTTGATTACTAGCTGAAACTACGTATATGCGCCCAAAAAGAATGATCAACACGTCTGAGAAAAAATATGCATATATTGGTTAAATTAGTGTTGCTTTATTCATATTCAATCACGCTTAGTGCAGACAAAGGTTTTAATCACCCTACAAAGTTAAAAAGAATAAAAAAGCAGTTTGATTTAAGTTTTGCGCGAAATCCGTCACGCCCAGCACCACTTGTCACTTTACCGTTCATTTAACTAATGAGTCCTGGGTATTTAAGCCTACTTTTCATCGAAAATTTTATTTCAAGCCCCAACTTTCTGTATTTTGGCGTTTCTTATGTGGTATATTGGCCTGAACTTAACTAACATATGCATTAGAGAAAGTTGCGGATAACTCCAAAAGCTTGACATGAAATCTTCGGTGAAAATTCCACTAATATTCAGCAGCCACCCACTAAATGAATAGGAACTTGATCGAAAGTATTGAGTGAAGCACTCATTGGGAATAGGAGATAACCTCAGTTCACAGGTTCCTAAAACTCACTCTATAGTTTTACTTATAATGCTGACCTGTATCAAACCCTGCAGCTAACATCTGAAATATCATCCGTCAATGGATTATTTAGTTGGGACATGGACAAATAGTAAGTAGACAATAATAAATACACTTCAGTTCCAACAGATATCTGGAATATGTATGTGTATAAATCCCGAAAACTTGATGTCGTTCGGCACTTATAGCCAAACTTGGAACCATAAAATATTTCATCACTTCAGCAGACAAGATACTGAAGGAATGAAGATAATGAGCGGAGGATTCATTCTTACTATTGATTTAAGACTCAGTAAGAATATCCACCAACAAGTGGCTATCATTCTAACGTATTACCGATTGCCGAGCTTAAAAACAGACTGACTGGAAGATACATTCATCAAATCTCCAAAACAATTTTGCTCGGGTGTGTTAAATGAAACAATTATTTCCAATCAAGTCAACCAAAACTCAGATTACTTAAAAACTATGAGTAGTATAACTTAGATATAATTCATTTTTATATTGGCTTTTTGGATCTCGGCATTGACATTTAGGTCTGCGATTGATCAGTCTCGTATTGACATATGTGCAGTCTCCGAGTTAACATCAACTCTTGGATTCATGTGTAACCAGCCAATGAGCCCCAAATGGGGTGAAACGCACGTCCTGTATTCCACTACTAGCCACCATCTATTTGCTTATAACTTAGATATACCAGTAAATTATTATCTTCGGTATGGGGTTGTGGAGATTCCATTAAAATCATGAACTTGACTAAGTAGACCACCATTGAAAACGTAGGAGCACTGAATGACTGTTTCGTCCTAACTAGCTTCGAGAGAAAATTTCCAGAGTTTTAGTGAAAAGCTGTAACCAGTGTAGGTGATTGGTATCGAGTGTGAGACAGTTACTCACCCAACAGAATGGAAAATGGTCGCGCGATGATGTGGATTGATTTTGTCAGACATTAACACCGATGTGCTACGGTTAAGTGATATAGAGCCTAATCGCACGAGCGGAATAGTGGGTGCGCGCTCCTGAGGAGTCCCATACTAGGATAAAACGGCCGTCCAGTGTCGTCATGTTTTAAATGATGATCTAACTCACTTCTGTCCATGGTTTATGAATAAGAGAGGTCGATAATAAAGAATGGACCCAACACCAACTGACAGAATTGCTTGGTAGCGAAATAAAAATGTAGATCATACCTAAGTTATTTGAAAAAACTAGGAGCTGTTCTTGAAATAATAATTAAAAATCACTCTTAAGACCTGTGTATGATGTTGGGCTTCCAGTAGCAGTGCCAGAAGCATTTCATTACTAATGGCTTCTTATCAATGCCTTAGACAAATTTTACTTTTTTATGACTGGTAGTCAAACAACGAAATTAAATTATATTCCCTAATCTCTTGTTATTTATAAGTTTAAACTACATTCAGCAAATTTTTAAAAAGTAAAGTTCCAAGTAGATCCAATTCAGTCAAAATTTCTGTGAAGATGCTCGAAAATTCCTTACAAATGGAAACGTATCAATAGTAATTATATGACAAGAAAAGATGGGTTGAAAAAGACATTTGTTCTACTTTTCAATGAGTAAAGATTAATTCTAAAAACTTAAAGCAAAAAGGTCCATCACATTCTATTTATGGTAAACTTGCATGTTTATGCTCACTGCTTGCTCTTGAAGTATGAATTCATTTTATTCCAACTTCGAAACATTCGATGCTCCCAATAAACTACAGCATATAACTGTTGACTTACTGTTCCAGTATATTTAAGAATTCTCATGGCTTGGACATGATATTAAATACAGATATGCGATATATAAGGAGACTCACCGAGTGATTTTGAGTTTATGTGTAATCATAGTCGATTTTTTTTCTGGCTATTAGAAAGTTATACATCCACATCGCAAGCGACGAACTCTCATATAAACACGAGAAAGTAGATAGATCTTTTATCTCAAGAAAATAACCAGTAATTATGTATGCATTTTTCCTATATATCCCCCAGCACTTCTATTTTTATTGATTTTAGCAATGTCGTTGGGTGCCAAATCAATGCCGTTTAGACACAAATTAAGTTTGATATTATATCAAGATAATATAAGGCTTTTCAATCACGTCAAAAGATCATGTCTATAGGATACAATTAGTGAGGAGTTGAACATAATAATAGTTACTCTCAAAATTCATGACCAAGTATGTTAAGACAGAAACGAAGCAAGTATAGTATGCCATGATGGAAAGGAAGCTGTCTTCCTAAGACATGACTTTCAGGGTAATGAAATAGATGTTTCTAGTTCCCAATCCGATTTCCTGTATCAAACGATCTGTTTGTTATGACAGTCATATATGACAAATTTTCGTCATATATTACCTCTAATCGTTTCTACCAATACACATGTACGTGCTGGAGCACATACATTGGAGGAACAGAAAGGAGGCTTAGTGTTCAGAACCCTGAATATATCACACAGAAGCTTAGACTAAAAGGACAGCGCATTGTAACAGTGCGATTGCACACCATATACTTGATGGTGCTCATTGCGTTCATAACTCAAAGTCTTTCAGGGTAGTTTGCAAACGTAGCACGTTAAATTTACTGTTTTGTTGAAGCAATTCCCATTAAAAACGTGAACCAAATTAGTGATTCAATTATTAATTTTACCTTACCATAGCAACCTAATTCATAAATGACTGTCACATAATCGTTCTTACTTTTTAATTTTTCTATCCTTTCTGATCTCCACTTTGTCAATTTCATTTTATTTTTAGGGACTACATAACTATAACATTGATATTTCAATGTTAAATGATTCTCTTTGTTTATTTTTAGTTTGTATTCTAGAATATTCACATTTTCAATCTCTAGACTGACATTATTTAACATATGAACATCTCTTATAATTCTTCAATAATTTCTAATTTTTTCATGAATCTTTATTGATGAGGACTTTTCCGATATTATGGTGTAAAGCAAGTGCACTGATTTCCAATACGTAATACTATTATGTTTGTGTTATAAACGACTAGTGAGAAACTAGAAATAAAATGAATTCATGTTTTGATCAAATTGATCAATGGGAAAATTGTACGAAACTTTATTAGCTAGCCTTTAGGGTAGATATTTTTACAGAAAACAGACGGGAGATAATTCCCTCCCATTTTTCACGTCCCAAGTGCTGCATTGTGTTTTGGCTCTTTTGAATAGAGTCTGTATACAACTCGTCTTGTGTGCTGCTGGGTTGTTGATGCCGTTATTTAGTATTTGATTAGTATGGCTTGCTTCCTTTATACTTGACTTTCCAGCACTTCTGCTTTTTCTGTTTATTAATAAATTAGTATACCATCACAAATAAGCATCGGGAACTAAGGAAAAAATGATTTCGCCATATGTGAAAGGCATCTCAAAAATCAGCACGATGGTCACAAAACGTTTTGGAATAAATGTCGCTCGTAAACCAAAATATTCGCTCCACTCTATTTTATTCAGACAAAAAGACAAATACAATATCATCTACAGAGCGAATTATATCAAGCTTGACGAACACTATATTTGACCAAGCGGATTCCCTTTCCACCTACGCATACATTAACATAAACTACCAATGAAATGATGCGATACCACTGATATTAGTACATGTAGGCAGCTGCGGACATTAAT